GGGATGAAGCCAGGGGCAGATCAAGGGTTAAGCAGGTTCCAAATCTGCATTTTTCAAAGAATGGAATTAGTTTATTCAGATAAAATATTTGATTCTGTAATATTTTTTCCTCCTTCCAACCGCAGGGAGGTCTTCAGGAAGTTGCTGATCAGTTGGATTTGCAGCGAATTGGCAGGCAGCATCAGGCAGGCTCAGACTCGCTGCTCACCGGAATGGCATTCTTCAGGATGAAAGAGGTGGGGCTCAGCAGAGGTGACAAGTGCTGCCTTCAGATACTTCAGATAACAGGGGCCAACATGATGATGAGTATTTTACTGAGTTGTTTTAGTTGTGTCCAACACTTCATGGCCCCATTTGGGGTTTTCTTGGCAAGGATACTACTGAAGTGGTTTGCCATTTCCTTCCCTGGCTCATTTTTGCAGATGAAGAACTGAGGCAAACAAGGTTAAGTGATTTGCCCAGAGTCTCACAGCTAGTGAGTGTCTGAGGCCAGATTTGAACTCTCAGAGAGGAGTCTTCCTGACTCCAGACCTGGCACTCTGTGCACTCCATCCATATTTGTCTAGCTGCCCTGATGATGATTATAATAGTCAACAAAAACAATCATATACGAAACACTACCTAGCTTTTAAAAAATAAGACAGAACGAAAAGAATTAACAAACAACAAGCAAATGACACCCTTTTGTGTTTCCTTCTAGGCCTTTTTGAAGTTTTAAGGGGCCACTGTTATTTCCATTAGAATTTGAGGGCATTTGGGGAATAATAGCATTTTACACTTTGCCTAATTTTTCATATTTCACATTGCTGTAGCCCTTTATAATTTTATAAAGCTTTTTCCCCAACAACCATTTTATAGGAGTAGAAACTAAATCTCAGAGAAGGGAAGTATCTTGTCCTCAATTTTAGGAATGAGAAGTAAAAGTGATATGATTTTTAAAAAAAATTTCCAAGTCTCTTTCTCCTTCCATAACAAGATATTCTGGAACTCAAATAGTTTAATTCAATATGAGGGATAAATGAAACATCTAACACTGTGATAGCAGCCCAGTGTCTTTTAATGTGAAAATATTGTAGATAGTCAGGCAAGTTGTAATCCATTCAGTGTTTTGCTTCCTTCCTAAGACTGCCAAAAGAAACTAATTGCTGATTTAAAAGAAATTGTTAGATTACCAATTTATTTTATTTATGCAGAAGCCTTTTAATTGTAAAACGTATTGAGAATCCTCTGCAGCCACCTAATTAAGAACCTCCATTTTAGGCTCCTTATTTGCCTGCCCTCCTCAGTTGTTTTTTGAAGTAGAATCTGAGCATGTTAGAGCTGGAAAAGAGTAGGTATCATCGAGTCCAACCTCATTTTCAAATGGAGAAATTGTGGTAAAATGATTTGTCCAAGATCACACAGTCTGAGTTGGTCTAGAATATAGAAGTCTTGATTCTCCAGCAAAATGTTCTTTCCTTAGAACACACGGCTTTCTGAAGTGTCAGTATTTACCTTGGAAATTGAAATGTTAATGATGTGGATGCTTTTGAGGCACTGACTTTACGACTTGGTAGGAGGTGGTGCATCTTGTCACATTAAGTCAGGAGAACTGGACACTATCTGAGCCAAAAGGGAGGTGGGAAAAGTCTGGTAGGAATAAGGAATATTTGTTTGTAAAGTTTGCCAAAGTGTTTTACCTGCATTGTCTTGTTTAATCTTTACAATAGCGCTGTTGCGTATAAAGTACTTACTTTAGTCACAGAAAGGCACCTGAGGCTCAGAGAGATTGTGACTCGCCTTGGAAGGCGTGTCCTTCTGAGCTTCTCCCAGTCCTGAGACATTCCAGATATGAAGGTAGCGTGGTGTACTACTGGAAAGATCACTGGAGGTAGGATGTGAAGCTCTGGTGTCAAACTTACCACATCATGTCTCTGAAATGGTGATTAGACTCCCACCCCTTCCTTTTTAGGCAATTGGGGTTAAGTGACTTGCCCAGGCTCACACAGCTAATAAGTGTCACATGGTCTGAGGCCAGATTTGAACTCGGGTCCTCCTGACTTCAGGGCCGGTGCTCTACTTACTGAGCCACCTAGCTGCCCCCACCCCTTTCTTTAGAGTTGTTTTGCAAACAAAATATTTTCAAACTATGCAAAGTCCTTTTCTAGTTAGGAAGCAGTTATTACTCAATGAAGTGAATATTAAAGGAATGGAAAGTTCCTAAGGGTGTGTATATGGCCATTTGAAGCCAGTAGGGACTGAAATTATTCAGTATTATAGGCCCTTGTGCTTAGCCTTATGCTGATATCGGGCTGTGAGAAAGGTGAGTGGTAGAATGTTTTATTCTTTTAAATGGCTTTATCTTAACTATTATTCTTATAGTGGTCTTTTTGTCCTTTCTCCAGTTATTTTTTGAGGACAGTATTGATGATGCTAAGTACTGTGGACGGCTCTATGGCCTTGGCACAGGAGTGGCACAGAAACAGAATGAAGACGTGGAGTCTGCTCAGGAGAAAACGAGCACACTGGCTGTTATTAATAACATGCAACAGTGATGACAGGGAATGGCTCTGCAGGATGGGCCCAATTCAGTACTGGTGCTTGCTGTCCTGACTGGTCTCTGTGTGTATCTCTCTCCTTTCCCAACAGAAAGAGCTTCTATTGAGTGAAATGTTTCTACAGTCTGCATTGAGCAGAAGGACTTTTGTTTTACTGAAGACAAATGATGTCTTCATTTTAGATCAGATTAAAGAACTTCACTCTGAATTTGTAAACAAGTGTTCCCCCATCCTCACCCCCAGTCCTTTCCTCTCTAGTTGCCATCTACCACCAGCATCTATGGCTCACTGGACACCTTTTTAATATCAGGGACAAGTCAGAAACAAACAAGTAAAATGTATATAACTCTTATCTGTTGTCACTCTTTTCATTTTAAAATTTGTGGCTCATCTCTGAGAATGAAGACTTACCTGATACCTAGCTGAGCTGAGAGCTGCCAGTGAAAACAGGATAAAATGGTGTATTTGTGGCTGAGTTTGTAGATGCTTGGTTTTTTAAATTCTCCTGAGGGAATTTTTTTCTTCGTTATGTCTACTGTTTTTTTTTTTTAATATTACACAGAAATGAACTGCTTGCTCACTGCTGGAATGGAAACTTTCTTCTCTTAAAAGTAAAAAAAATCAACTGTTGGTCTGCTCTTCAGTCATGGCATTCTCCAGAACTCAGTATCTGGCCGTTCAGATGCCTTAAGCACATTGTTCCATCATGCCAGAGATTTGCTGTATCGTGTGCTTCCTTTGAAGTCTTTTTAGGTATTACTTTGATAAAACATCTTGGAATAGATGGAGAGAAAAGCCTCCCAATTTTTGTTCCCTAAACAGCAACTCTGGACCAACCGTCTTCCAAAACAGGAAAATAATTTCAGATGGGCATTTGGGATTCTAGCACTTCTCTTTCTTTTCATTCTCCCTTATTTTTCCTTTCAGTGAGTCTGAAGGTAAGGTGAGGAGGTGTTAAATGTAAGAAGGGCAGCAAAGGGATTCAGTTTTTGTTTAGTTTTCTTGAAAGTAATATTCCCACATCTGGAGTATAAAGCTCAGGACAGTTATTTTTCTTCTTGTTTTAAAATCTAGTCATTCAAGAATTAAGTTATCTGTTTCTTGAATAACTGCAGTGTGGACTCTTCTGAAGATCAAAATCCCTGTTGCACTGGAGGGAATGAAACTAGTTACTCACTGAAGTAGATAGCCTTCAATTTTAACAAGCTTATGGAAGATTCAATTTGTGGTACTTTAAACATGTCTCAGGTATTATAAGCTGGTATTTAAAATGCTTGTAAAAATTATGTTTTAAATTTTGTAAAATAAAGACTTTTTTAACCACTGGTATGGTTTTGTCTTTTCCAGCTGCAGATTGCTGGCCCTGGAACATTATACTCAGCCTCTCTTGATGGGGGAACAATCCCAGTGCCCTTTGTCAGTGCCCACATATCCCTATTTTTGTAAACTGTGATTGTATACACATCTGCTTGTTTACAGTTGGACCTTCTGCCAATTGTGAGGTCTCTGTTTCCTTCGTAAATTGTTGATATACTTGCTACAAGGAATTACGGTGATGCTTTTTTAAGACTGGCTGTGAATTCTTGTTTGTTGTATTCTGGCCTTGATTCTAAGGCAGGCCTGCACAACCTGCAGCCCACCAAAGAATTTCAGGCCTGCAAAAAAAATGTAGGGGAAACCATCCTTTGTATGTAGAGGAGATCCTTTTTGTGTATTGCAAGAGGCCTGTGGGCTGCAGGCTGTGCAGGCTTGTTCTAAGGTTATGGTTTTCCTCACTTTTAGCCTGGTTAGGGGCAAACTTTCAGAGCCAGAAGGGACCTTATCACTCTTATTTTGGAAATGTAGAAACTGAGCAGGTACTCTGAAATAGGGAATATGACAGAGGGGGGATATCTCAAGATGGGATATCTAATAAAGGGAAGATCTGAAATCTTCTCTATGAAGTAATGTGTGGTCAAAGTCACATAGTTGTTAAAATTGGCTGAACTGGGCCTGGGAAACGGATTTTCCTATTTAATCCCCTTAAGTATTTCCTAAAAAACCAAACAAGTCTAATAGGGGCATTTAGTTCCATGGGAATAATGGCAGAAAAAGGCAGGACCTTACTTCAAAGATTAGTTTTGACTATGTTTCTGTCAGTCTGGATAAGTGCGGTTTTATGCAGGGCATACTTATGTTGGCAAAGTGAAGTTGAGGGCCATGAGATCAGATAATTATTTCTAGGATTCAAACTCTTGGTGACTAGAGGAAGATGGGTAATCCCAAAAACCTGTGTTCACATCAGTATGCTAGTGGTCAAGGCATTTAGTACCTATATGTAAATTAGTTAAGCTTAGCTCATCAGTCATGTCTGTGCAAACATACATATACGTGTGTGTGTATAGAGTGTTCTTACATTCACTTTGCTATTTTCTGTAATTACGCTGAATTGTGCTTTGTATAATAATACACTGACTAGTTACATAAAAGGATCCCTTTATACACAAAACTGAATTAGTCAAAATTTAAAGGAACAAAAGGCAACTGATTATTAAGAATTGTTACTGGCAACCTGGGTAACCTTGGTTAAGTCACTTCTGAGAGGACTGGATGAGATGACCTCTGAAGAGGTCTCCAACTCCAAACCCTGATCCTTTGTGAACTGCTGTAGTTCACTGGTCTGGCACGAAAACCCCCAACTAACTGACCAAACTGGTTTGTGATAGCTACTCCACCGACTAAGGAGCTAAAGAAGCACATGACAGACAACTGATCTTTTAGATTAGAACACCAATTAGGTGCACAAAGTGTGCAGGAAAGAATTAGAGTTGCTCTCTTATTATGGTGTCCCAAATCTTGTTAGAATTCTTAGGTAGGGGTCCTCACTATTTCACTACAGTACATGATTTCTTTATCCCCAGGCAAAATATTATAATATTCAGGACAATCACTGAAGACTTAACAGAAATGTAATTTTAAAATGTTTTAGTAAGAGTGGCCTTCACTGGAATCGCAGAACACAACTGGGTTAAGTTGTGGGTCAGGGCTAAATTCCCTTGTAGCTCAGTAACAGTCCTTTTGAACTCACTCCTGTGAAAGGGGCTTTCTTTCTGTATGAGCATTCTTAATTTTAACAATGCCTTCTATCTGTGCCATGCAATTTATTGCCAGTTCTAGGGCCTTCATGTCTTTTTTAACAACTGTTGTAAGAAGGTCTCTTCAAGTTCCCACTACGACAGGCCTTCCTTTCCAATTTGGAAATAACTCCACTAACAATGTTCTAGCTATGGCTATCTTGCTACAACTTAAGATCATCCTTTCTTTTCATAGGAGTATGGCGTCACTTAAGTACATGGTAAAAGTCATCAAATGGTTTTGTTAAGACACCCTCTGTATCCAAATAAGACCATTTATTTTAGTGCAGAAAATTAAGTTCTACTTTGAGCCTTAAGAACACACCTGGTCAAAATAGTTACTGTTTTCTTTCCTCCTATATCCTGTCATTGACATAAAGTGTTACCTGATTATATCCATCTGTATCTAGGTGATTTTATTTAGATGGCTGACCTCATTTAACCTACATTTCAAAACCATTTTTAGAATGCAACCAAAACAAATATTTTGTAGAAGGCCTATAGTTTATAAAAAGCATGAGCAGAAACAGAAGTGCCATTACAAACGTAAACTATATAGATACTGAGGTGCCTTTCCTCAGGGTGGCTGCCCTTATAGTCATGAGGCATTTTGTACCTTTAACAATTGAGCTGTCCCAACAAATCTATGCTATATTGGTCTGAATAGAGCCCATTTCCAAAAATATCTTTTAAAGGGGGAAAAAACCCCCCACTTACTGTTGTATGAGAGTTGCATTTCTATGTCATGAGACTTTAGCCCTCCATGATGAGATGCCAAGCGCTAATTCTTTGCAATCCGAAATGTGATTTTACACTTTTGGGGAGTGGGGTGGGGTGAGGGAAGGTATACGAGGAGCACTTATACTGAAAGCATTTAGGAATAGTCTGTTTTGACTTTCCTTATCAAACATGGATACTGAGAAAAAGAAGAGACCAGATAACAGACTACGGATGATGCAGGTTGGCAATGATTCCCATCTTCACAAAAGCATATGGTTTAAAAGTTTACTTAAAGGCAGCCTGTGTATTTAAGAATGTAACACATTTATCACAATAGAAAAAATACAACTTTCTCCTATTTGGGTAAAACCTACAGGTTTTCAAGGTCACTGAGATTGCTATGCTGGGTAATTTCTAAGCAACTACTGCTGGCCTGCCATCATTCTTCCCTCGACAGAAAATGATAGTTGAGGTGAAAGTCCTTTTTAATTTCACAAGCAGAGTTGGGGTCCACTATGGACCAATGAGTCTGACCACATCTGGCCCCTTACTTTACGGACCTTCTTTCAAAAGTGTCCACAGCTCAGGGAGAAAGGCCAGGGAGGAGCAAACTGCAGAAGTGAAAAGATGGCCTTTGTCTTGGCCTAGGTATAACAGTCTTCAGCTGAAGGGCTTCAAATTCATGTGCAGAAAATCTGAGAACTTCTTTCGTAAACTTTGCTGTTGCCATATTTCTGAAGGAGTTCTAAGGCTTGTTGCTGCATATCCAGACTCAAATACCCAGAACACTGGGATCCAATATGAAGCATTACAAGACAACACTCTAACACATCAGGAAAGGGAAATGTCTGAAAGAAAAGAGGTCAATATAAATCAGGATGGCCACTAGCTATGCAATACTCCTCCTCCAAGGACAAAACCCAAAACACGGAATTCAAAAACAATAGTTACAACCACTGCTCTTAAAGAGGGAATTTAAAATTTAGAATACTGTTCAGATCAAGTTTTATTTTTTAATTTACATGAACAATTGAGCTTTATATAGTAATTTACAGTTACAAAATGCTTTACAATAGTCTCTCATTTGATATTTATAATAACCTTGTGAGTCTGGTAATGCAAGAACCTTTGTTGTCACATTAGAGTTGGGGAAATAAAGTTTTAGTGAGAATGACTTGTTCAGGGTCTTATGGGAAATAAATTGTTGATAGATCTGAGACTGACACAAGACTTTTGATTCCAAATCCAAGGTTTTTCCCCATTAAATTATCTTTTCTGTATCTGGCCTTTTCCCATCTCGATTTGTGACCATTACGTCTATCCACAATTACCAAATTACTCTGGCCAGTCACCAATATGTAGGTTTAGAATGACATCGTTTTTTACATGTAGTAATGGCATTTGAGACTAGGTAATAATGAATTATCAATGATGGTAGAGTGAACCGAAAAGATGTCGTTTTTAGCGAAGAATAAAGTTATAGATCTTACCTTAATGTTCTCAGGAAATCCAGCCATTTTCTTATTTGCTTCTGAAAGTCGTTTTGTCAATTCAGCCAGCGAAACTGGTTCATTTACTTGTTCTTTACTGTTAACAGAATACAGAACCATTCTCACATTTTGCTCAAGTAACTGCATACTTTTTCCATTATCCTAAAAGATTTCTTTGAAATTCCACTGCTTTTCTCTTGTGTATTTAAAGATCAAGGAGAAACAGTTAATATAAAACAATTTATAAAACCAAATAATGACTAGATCAATAATTTTCAACATTTTGGGCATTTAACTATGATTTGAGACTCCTGTGCCATTTCTAATATCTTTTTTTTTTAAATAAGGATTTTCTTTCCCCTTCTGGACAAATTCTAGTTCCCTCCATTTTCCTTAGCCTAGAAGTACATAAGGATGCCTTTCATGACATGAAGACTATAATCAGTTTCCAGAGATCCCTTATTTGGGACTGCTTACTATTTTTATAACTATTCAAGAGAGGAAGCTTATATATTTTTATATTAAAAAGGACATTTTTTTAAAAAAGGACATTAAAGGAGTTGAACACAATAAGGTATTCAAGAAAACGATGTTAATTTTTTTAACTGAAACATTAATAAATCAAACACACTTTACAACTATTTGTATGATAACTACAGATTCAGAGTTGTAAGGAACCTAGTCATTTGGTAAAACTTCTTTTTATAGATGAGCAAAGTGAAGCCCCAGAGAAAAAAAAGCAGCAGGAGTGGAGCTAAGAATTGTAAGACACAAAACATTCCTGACAAATTAACAGTCACTCTGTGTTCCTTTAAAAAGCTTTTCAAATCATCTCTCCATGTAGATATTCTAAAAAAACAAAGTGACCATGTGTGGGGACCTGGCTTTGTATGGTCTGCTGCTGCCTTTTCCTCAATTTCACATAAGCTATTATGGATTTCCTCATATCCCCACATATCAACCCAAAGCATAATATTCTGCTGCATGCACATACATTTTTAATATATACAAAATATATAAAATTATGTATTAAAAATACAAGTACATGACTATAGTGTACATGATATGAAATATAAATATGTGATAGATAATTTATCTAAAATATCATTTGTAACATTTTTCTCTTGGATTTGTGATTTCACTGATATAAGGAAACTGTGAAGAAATTCTGTCCACCACAGACGGGCAATTATTCTGCAGCTCATCCTCTTTAAGGAGCTGCCCACCACACAGATGAAGTGACTTTACCAGGGTCACACGATCAGTCTGTCTTAGAGGTGGTACTTCAATACAGGGTTTATTTTGACTTGAGGCTGGTCCTCTACATCTACCATGCCACACTCTGCCTTTTTAAACTGACTCATGATTTAGCCATTCCACAACTATCTGTGGGAAACTTTAGGTGTTTGCACTTTTGTTTGTGTATGTGTGAGAATATATTCTGTTATGTTATCTCTGACCATTTGGTGGCAATCCCCACCCCCCCTCCTACATGTAGGGATTGACTGGCTTCAGGGAGGAGCCTGCAGCTAGCAAGGTGAGTTAGTTATAAATGGCTTCCTGTAGGAATTTTAAACTTTAAACTTTAAAACTGTCAGTATGTAAGCATTTAAAGTTTTTCATGTTTTGCTCTAACTCCAAAGCCTAAAATTTTAAAATTAACTGAGAAAGCCCTCGGCCTCTACCCAGCACTCTTCCACCTTATTTTAGACGATTTCACACCTTTGGCTGTCAGGATTTTCAGAACACAACTGAGTCTTCAAGGAAGGATCTCCCTCTTCAGCACTGTTCCTTGTAGCTTTACAGAGCTGGTTTCTCTGGTGCTGGCGGATCATTTCTGCTAATGTTTCTTGGACCTCTGTGATAGCTTTCTGGGTACTCTGGAGATCTGCGTGCATTTGAGAAATGAGAACCTCACATGCACTCAGTGTAGGCTGTTTTTTCTCTGCGCTTCTCCGGTCTTGCTCTAAATCTGTACTCAGTATGGTTCCTTGGGGAAGTTCATCGCTCAGCTGGGTAAAGGCGTCAGGGTCAGTTACGTCTGGACTGGAGGTATCAGAGAGACCATTCTGCTCACCACCACAGGCAGTGCCAATAAAAGGCACTGGATCTGCCACGCACTGTATTTCAATGAGGGGAGTCCTGGGCAGGTTCCACCAGAGGTCATAGAGCTGTCCATATGAGAAAAAGGCCTCTAAACTTTTAAAAGCTGGCTCTTCACCCAGTTTCTCTCTTAAATGATCACAGCCTAAGAGAGAGAAAGTGAGATGTAACTTTCCCAACTGCTTATTTTTCTGAAATGTCCTATTGCCCCTGAGGGCTTGTTTCCCATGTATAATTTTTATTATTTTGATTCTTACAACCCTACGAAGGAGACAACAAAGTTTCTGACGGGAAGTTAAGGGTATTCCAAGTAAAGACAGACTGGGATGACAAGATGTTATCTACCAAATTGCATACCTAAAGCCAGTGGCCAAAGAAAGCCAAGCATCTCCTAGTCCTAGGAAGGAGCTGGTCTCCTATAGATGGGGGCATACATGTTAAAAGCAGGAAAAAAGAAGCATTTTACAATTCTCTACGGATTTCCATCTTTCCTCTGAAGTGATAACACCAGGCCATACTCAAACAAGAAATTTCTATGCTGTGTATCTGCAGAACGATGGCACTCTAGTCAGATCGCCATTCTTCAGTAGCTAATTATGTATGAAGCCTGGAGACTCTACAAGACATTTCTTTTTTCCAGCGGATTGCCTTCTGCTTCTATGGAATTGTTCCCTTCGTGGAACATGTAAGAAGTAAGTACTTTCTGGTATCTTTCAACCCTGGTGGACAATCTGAAATTATTGACGCAAATGAAATGTTTGGATTATTTCTGGCTCTCAATGACTTATGCTCCTCCCTGTCTCCCATCATTAACTATTAACTACTAAGAACATAATGAGAAGGCTCTTCTGGGTTGTGGAGAAAATGCAAGTAATATGAAACTAATTTTCATACCTTGGCCCTGAAGAGAGGAAAGCTACTTGCCTTTGGGAAGAAAGAGAGTACAGATTTCTTGCATTAGAGTGAAGTTCCCCGAGTCATAGCTCCGTGTCACAGCGGCAAGGAGAGCTCTGACGGCTTCCGGCCAGGAGGCGGTCTGCTGGCTCAGCACCGCCAAGGTCAGATCATGGGAGATGTGGAACAGGAGCTAGAGCAAGAAGCCAAAGCCTCAGTTAATTTCTTCTTAAGGGAGAAAGACTGTTATCAGCAACATTCAGCTGGAATGTTCTGCCAGCAGGGCCCTGTGGACAATCTGGGACCAGGAATTTCCCCCACGTAATGTTTATCAACAAGGGCCCATCTTGGTTTCAAGAGAAACTTTCACAGTTGCACGGCAATTCACATGCACAGTGATTGGAAGCAAAAAGGTCTAAGGAAAGCACTTAAGCTATTTTCATTTCTAGTCACAATTTCTAAGTGTTGCTCCACTTAACAGATCACTTCTGATCCCCCAAAATTTATTATCTCTTTACAAATGAGTGGGACCACAAACTGATCTGAAAGTGATTTGGCTTTAATGATACTGAAGAAGATACCTTTGGTACTGGCTGGTCTGTTTGTTTTAAATCCCACTGTGAAAATTCCAAGTGAACTACTGATTCTTTGGTTAAGAACTGCAGACCATTAGCACACTACAACTGGAAGGGACAACAGAGATCATTTAATTCGACCTACTCATTTTATAAACGAAGCAACTGAAGCTCAGGACACATAACTAATAAGTGGCAGGAACTCGAATCCAGTTCTATTTTCAACCTCAGAGTTTTTTAAAGAAAATACACGTGTCCACTTAGAGAAACGAATTGTGGACAGAAACAGATAAACTGTGACTTCTACCAGTTTACATGTAGAATAGAGATTCTTATTCCTGAGTGGGAACAGTAGCTATGAATGACGCATTTGTTACCTGTTTGGAAAGGGTATGACCTGTGGCAGATGGGTACTCGATACCATGTAGCTGCTGAAATGCTGTCTGGTACTGTTCAGTGGTCTCCAAGCCAAATGTGCTCTTCCATACTGTGATCACCCCTTCCATGAAGGAACTCTCAGTCCTGATGGCCCAGCTATGGTAGGAAGGGAAGGAGGAACTTTTCCATTCTGATGGCTGACTTTCCTCCAGGTGCTTGGACAGCAATTCATGAAGGCAAAACACCAAACACTGACCCTAGAACACAACCAACCAGAAAGGAACTTCTGTTCAAGAGCCAAGGGAAAGGAAGTCAAGAAAAGAACCTGCTTCAGTGGCTGGGGTTCACTCCCTAGGAACTGTATCCCCACGTCTTCTCAATTTCACTTGTATCAGACTGGTACTTATAAGAATGAGTGAATTGCTAAAAGATATTTCAGAAGGCTGAAACTTGCTCTGCCCCAAAAAGGGGCAGAGCGAAACAGAGAAGCTTCCAGGTAAATCACATTTGTGGCCAAGGTTCTGACTGCAGTAAAAAGTCAACTCATCATCAGTGGAATACGATGGATCAGAAATGATAACAATTATAAAACAGGATGGGTAGAATTCTAACATAGGTGTCCCTTTGGTAGCAAAAGGCCTGGGCTGGAGGGGGGGGTCTTGGACTCCCAGCTATGAAACTGTAATTATAAAAATTCCCCAAGCAGCTCATTCTACTTCATTAACTTGCCCACAGCTAAGACTGATGGTACAATCCATCGAGAACTAGGACAAGCTCAATGAACCCCGCGTATTTGGTCACATTCGGCACCAGCACCTTGTTTTCTATTTCAGTGAGATTTCACTAGGAAAGAATTCCAGGTCTGGGGTTTGCCAAGAGTGAAGCGTGGACTCACTAGCAGGCATTCTTGTTGCCGGAGGACTTCCTGAGCTCCCACCCAGTTCCTGACCGACAGCAGCTCTTGGGCACATCTGAAAGAGAACGATGAAGACAGCTCCTTCTCTTCGGCGACAAGTGCCAACTCTGCAGCTGTTCTAAGAGAAGCCACATCCCCCTTTTTGGCGAGCACTTTAGCTGCATCGTAGGCAGAGGTAGCCCCTAAGTAGCTACAACATATGAATAGAAAAAAAGAGTACTGACACAGAAATGAAATGATAAAAACAGTGAACTCTCTCGGGCTGGATTGTTCTAGAACAGGTCTCTACATTCCCAATTCTGCCCCTCTAATAACTTATTTGTCCTTCATGGTATTCTCAAGTACACTAATTTTTCTTCAATTGTTTCCTTCATGGCTAGATTCAGTGTAGCTTAGTAAATGGAAAATAAGAGCACAGACGAAAAGCTCAATAAATATCATTAATATAGACTTTTACCCAAAACAGACTTAACCTTTTCCTCCCAAATCTACCTTGTATAAAACCTTAGTGCCAGAATAGGTGTCTTTGCCCCCAGTCTATGCCTATGTTGGTTCCCCCCCCCGCCCCTTCCCAAGGCATCTCATTTTAGGGATTCTAAACAGCCTATTTTTTAGCCAATACTATAATTACTGAACTGAACTTTAAAGAGGGAACTCCCTCCCGTTTTGCCCACTTGCTGGCACGTCTCTGGGATAGCATGTCCTTGGCTATACTTGCTGAATGGCTCTAATGGCTTTTAGTATAAATGCCAAAAGGAGAGAGGCTAGTTTTGTTATCAAGCCTGACTAGACAATTCTAGGTAGACATCTCCTTATGGCTGTTCTTCTTGCCCTTACATAATACTCTTCTTTATTGGTGGCCCCGGTACCTACCATTTGGCTGCCATGGCGTAATGGCCATCTCTTTCTAGGACTGCTCCCCAACTGCCGTACAGGTCTTTCAGTATTGGGTCCTCTGGTCGTAGCCGGGCCTTGGCAATTGCAATGGCTTCCCTAGGGCAGGAAGAGAGAAACAAAGATCACTATCTACTATGTTTAACAGATTGTGGGGAGAGAAAAACAATCCCCTCAAGTTAAGCCTAGTTAAAGACAATACAGATATACATAATGAAATATCCCACACTACCTTGTACTTGAATAGAAGGCAATATGGCATATTCTTTCAAATGATGTTCATTCACGGCACTGAATAATAAAAAGACCTCTGGATGTGGTGTCAGAAAACCTGGCTCTGAGTGTCCTACTCTGTTATTTAGGAGTCATCTTGGTTCTTCCTCCTTCCCAGCTGAGAATCCTGCTTTATATTCCACTGAAGAAACTGAGGCCATTTGCTCCCTCATAGAACTTTGTCAATACCTCCTCCTTCCCTCTTGTCTTAAAGGAAGAGGTCGTGCTGCTCTACATGCACAAGCGGTGCCGTGCTAGCCTTCTTCTCCAGCTGAACGCCCCCTTTCACTTAACTTCATTCTGTCCACTGGCTGCTTCCCGACTGCCTACAAACATCCATGTCTACCCACCCTCAAAAAGGCTCCCTCAATCCAGCCATCCCTGCTAATTACAGCCCCATATCACGCCTCGCTTCTGTGGCTGAACTCCTTGAGAAAGCTGCCTACAGTCTGTACATCTTCGTTCTGTGCACTTCTGCAGACAATGTTTGGGCTGGTCCAGCTGCTGTTTTCTTAGGGTATTCCAGGATTTCAGGGACATCTTAGGCTGCAACTGGTTAAGCTTTCACTGATCCCAAAGTATTCCAATTCAGGGCAAGATCTGATTCCTGCCCACCTGTCCTGGCTGGAGCTCTGCAAGTTCTTGACCTGGGTGTGGCTGGGTCTGAGCAGTAGACCTGTGAGCTTGCCTCTTGTGTGCTTTAGGTCAACTGATGCTGGGCTCAGCCTCTGATGCCTCTGCTGGTTCAGAGCAATAAACTGCAGGTTTCCCTTTGGTTTGGGATTCCTGGTTATACGTCCGCAGGCTTCAGACTGGGCTAGCAGCTGGAACTGAGCCCTTCTTCCACTCCTGGGGGCATCCGAGATTCTGAGCCTGTTCCACTCTTGTTCCACAGCCCAGAGCCTGTGACCACTCCACACCCTGGAATGCCATCTTTGGGTGCAGGTCATCTCTTCCATCTACCTGGCATCTCTGACTCTCAACCAGAGAGTGAAAGCTGCCAGGTGGCACATGTTCCTGTATTCTCCCAAGTTCAGAATCTTCTTTGCTGGACCTGGGCCCTCTTCTTGCCCCGGTACACACCCTTTCCCTACGCTAGAATGCTCTGCTCACAAACTCCTAGCCAGGCACAGTCCTCAGGGTCTGCAGACCCCTCTGTGTATCTTCCCTATGATGACCTGGCCTGGAAAAATGACTCACAACTTCTTGGATTTCCTGATCAGGTTTAGTTTATCTTCTGGATCTGTCTGTAGGTGTTGCGGATGGGGGAAGGAGAGCTTAGCTGTACTTTACTCCACCATTTTGGTTCTATCTATCTCCTGACTGCCAAATCTATTGGCCTTTTTTAATCTTCATTCCTCTTGCCCTCTTTAACCCTTGATACTGCTGATCACCCTCTCCTTGATATTTTCTCTCTAGGTTTACATGATACTATTCTCTCTTGGTTTTCCTACCTGTCCTACTACTCCCTCTTAGTTTTCTTTGCTTAATTCTTACTTAGGTTGCTCTAACTGTGCGTGTTCCCCAAGGCTCTATCCTGAGCTGCCTTCTCTTTTACTTGGTGATCTCACCAGCTCCATTTATCCAGCCCTAGACTCTCTTAACCTCCAGACTGCCATCTCCAACTATTTACTGGACATCTGAAGCTGTTCGTTTTATGGGCACCTTAAACTCAACATGTTCCAAAACTGAAGCCATCATCTCCCACTTTCCCGATCCCTTTTTCCCATCTTTCCTATCACTGTGGAAGGCAACACCAGACTCTCGGTCCCCTAGGTATCATTGTGTTTCCTCTCTTATCCTTCACATTCAATCTGTTGCCAAGCCCTGTCAATTTTACCTTTATATCATCTCTTACATACTTTCTTCTCTTCTTTGACACTACCACCACCCTGCTGCTGGCCCTTATCATTTCACAACCTGGACTACTGTAACAGCCTACTGGGTTGGTCTCCCCACTTTAAGTCTCTCCCCATTCCAGTCTATCTACCATTCAGTTGTCAAACTCATCTTCCCAAAGCACACTGACCACATCACTCCCTTTATTCAATAATTTTTAGTGGCTCCCTAGCACCTTCAGGACCAAATATAAAAATTTCTCCTTGACATTCAAAGCCCTCGATAATCTGACTTCCTCTGCTTTACCTCCCTCACTTAAGTCAAAAATTTCTGTGACACTGGCCACCTTGCTCTTCCTTACACAAGACACTCCATCTCCCAAATCTGGTCATTTCACTGGCTGTCCTCCAGGCCTGGCATTCTCTCCTTCCCTCATCTCCACCTCCTGGTCTCCTTCAAGTCTCAGCTATAATCTGATATTCTTCTTCTTTTCTTTTTAGGCAATCTGGTTAAGTGACTTGCCCAGGGTAACACAGCCAGTAAGTGTCAAGTGTTTGGTTTGAGGCCCCATCTGAACTCAGGTTCTCCTGACTTCAGGGCCAGTGCTCTATCCACTGAGCCACCTAGCTGCCCCTTAATCTGATCTTCTTAAGAAGCCTTTCCCAATCCTCCTTAATGTTAGTACCTTTCCTCTGTCGACTAGCCCCAGTTTATCTTGTGTGTGTGTGTGTTAACACACACGTAGTTGGTATACAGTTGTTTTTACGTGTCTTCCCCGTTAAGACTGGAACCTCCTTGAAAGCAGGGACTGTCTTCTGCCTTTCTTTGTAGCCCTAGAGCTTAGTTATCCTACTGACCTGACTACTTACTCACTGCTATTTACCTCTCAGTTCACCTATCTATAAAATGCAGCTATCAAAGCTGTTACTACTTACATTACAGGGCTGCTGTGAGGAAAATGCTTTATGATGATTTATAAAGTGCTTACAGAATTATGGGTGTTTACTACTATTGCTGGTTCATTCAACGAACCAAAAAAGTGCCTGGGGTGTGCATTCTTCAATATTAAATGATTAGTTAGTGACTGTTTAATTACCAAATCTGATGACCTTTTTCTCAAGTCTCATCCTTTCTGACTTCTCTGGAGCATGTAAACTACCAACTACCCTTTCTGGGTACTTTTTCCTCTCTGAGTTTTCATAACATCGCTCTCTCTTGGTTGTCCTATCTGTCTGGATGCTTTTTTTTAGCCTCTTTTGCTGGCTCACCATCCACATTCCCTACTAACTATATCCCCCCAAGTGGAAATCTCTCTCTCCTCCCTCTTTCATTTCTCTCGGTAATTTCATCAGTTTTCACAGGTTCAATTAGGAGCTCTATGGGATGACTCCCTAAGCCATACAACTAGCCCTACTCTCTCTCTCCTGAGCTCCAGCTCTGCATTCCCAACTGCCCACTGGACATTTCCTAAACAAATGACAAATTCAGTATGTTCAAAACAGAACTCCCAAACCCAAGCCTCTTCCTAACTTTCTTTCTTCAGCTGAGAGCACCATCATCTTTTCAGTTAAGAAAGTTTGAAATGTAGGAGTCACTGATAGTTTCGCATTCCCCCCTCAACCTCTACATCTAACAGGTGCCAAGTTTTGTTGATTTTACCTCCATAACATCTTCTCCATCCATGCCCTTCCCTCCACTCACTTCACAACCACTCTAGCTCAGGCTTCCTTGATTGAACAACTACAAGAGATTCTTAATTTGTCTTCCTGCCTCAATCCCTCTCCTCTCCAAGACATTCTCCAAAACTTCAGCCAGTGATATCCCTAAAGCCCAGGTCTAATCATGTCACCAACCTCCTTAAAGAGATCCAATGCCTCCCCTACTGTTTCTAGAATTAGAGAGACAGACACAAGAGTAGAAGTCATCCTTGACCTCCTTAGCTTTCATATCAAATTGACACACACTTGCATTTATCTCCAAAACACCTCTTCTACTTGTGTGTGTGTGTGTGTGTGTGTGTGTGTTAATACACACGTAGTTGGTATACAGTTGTTTTTACGTGTCTTCCCCATTAGACTGTAACCTCCTTAAAAGCAGGGACTGTCTTTTGCCCGCTCTCTCCACCCACGTGGCCAGCACCTAACCATCTTGCCTAGACTACTGCAATAAAGTTTCCATCGCTTCCAGTCTTTTTCCTCTTCCATCCATCCTGCACAAGGATGACAAAACAAACTTCCTACAGCACAGGTCTGACATGTTACTCCCTTGCTCAGGAATCTTTATAGGCTTCATTTTACCAAACCTGTCACTGCATTTAAAGCTCTGAAGTCTGCCTCTTATCTAATTATGGCACATTACTATGTCCCTTTACAAATTCCTTGCTGCAATCAAACTGGACTACCTGCTATCCCCAGACCTAGGCATTTTACATTCACCTTTGTACAAGTTGTCCCCTTGTGCCTGGAATGCATTCCCTCCTCATCCCTGCCTCTCAGAATCCTGAACTTCCTTCAAAACTCAACTCTGGCACCAATTTCTGTGTGTGTCCCCATCTTTTCCCGACACAACTAGTTGTTACGCTTCCTTTCCTTCTCCTCAAAGTACCTTTTTTAAAAAAAAAATCTTATGTGAACGTTGTGTGTCATGTTCGCGCCCCCCCCCCCCGAGGGGAGGGGGCACTTCTTTTGTCTCTGCATCCTCCCTGACTAGCATAGCTGACATCAGAGAAATAATAAACACTTATACTGATTTGATCTGGATGTGAGTGGATCTGTGCCAAAGAGTGCTCTGGAGCACTGGCCCTGGAATTGTGCCACCAGATTTCAAATCCTGGTGCTGTCATTTATTAGCTGTTTGACCTCGAGCAAGGGATTTGCTTCTCTTCATCTCCATCATGAAAATACTGGAACAGGTGACCTGTAAGGTCCTTTCCAGCTCTAAATCTTATGACCCTATGGCCAAGAGCTCTACCACTAGAAGATGAACAAAAGTCTCTGTGCTGACCTATAGAAGTGGTTTGACTTGAGCAGCTCCACAGCTTCATACACCTTATGGATAGAGAGGAGATGAGAGGCAGCCTTAACATACTGGTCCTGGAAACACAGCTGTTTGGCAAAGGCTTCTACTGTCCACAGCCACATCTGGTAGCCCGCTAGAAAGCAAAAGACAATATGGTTAGCAAGCATGTAAGTACAACTTCAGGAATCTGCTCAGATTTTCCTTTCTACTGTATTGTTCTGTACCAATAACTTAAGGACTCTCTGAAAAGAAAAATAGTATAGTAAGACCTTGAGGAATCATCTTTGACTCTCCCTTATCTGTCATATCCAGTTGACTAAGTCAGGTCTATTGCTTCTACTTCTACAACATCTCTCCTACCTAGTTTCTTTCCATTCACACTAAAATTTAATTCAATAAACATTTATTAATTGACTTATGTGCAATGTATTATGTCTGACTCTGGCAATACAATGATAGATGTGACCCACCATTCCCTACTCTCAAGGAACTTATCAAATAAGGGAGAAAATGATAAGCATGAAGGTCAAGGCAAAGTGCTACGAGAAACCCAAAGACAGAAAGACACACAAATTCCCTTAATTTATAGAACAGAAAGTAAGGTATAGAGGACAAGTAGTTTACCCAAGTCACAAAACTGTAGCCAAGCTGAGATTTGAAACCAGGTCCACTGGTTAGGATTTCACAATTTCTGCTGTGTCATGTTGCTGTTTCAGCAAAGGGAGGAAGAAGAGAGGGACTCAAGGAAGGCTTTAAGGACAACTAATTATAGGTTGCACTCAGGCTTTATACAAATCTATTTGGGGAAAGGCCTAGATTGGGAACAATAAGATAAGTGTGGGCCTTTGATGCCTCCTTTTCAGCTGTCCTATTTCTTTAATGTTCTATTTATGAGAAAGCCTAATATTAAAGGATGATATTAAACTTTGGTTTTTAAACTGATTTTAAGATCAGCTGGTATTACAAATAGCTGATGTTTATGGATGGTGTCCCAGAATGGATAAGCATTTTCTTAATGTACATACCTACTGGTGCCATAGCTACCAGCTGATCAGTCAGTTCTCCCCTTTCTGCAGCAGCCTGGATAACTCCTTTTAGATCTCCTTTCCACAGCATTAACTGGTGGAATAAATCAGGGTGTCCATTCTCCAAATGACTTTTTCCTATTTGAAAGAGTGGGAAATTGAATATTATTGAGGGAAATGGAGAGAAACCACCTCTTAGATATACTTAGCTATGTCTACCAGAGCAATCACAGTGGAAGCTGCAATCGGGGCTTGTGAAACCTCACCTTCTACCTCGATCATCCTGTATAGGGCTGTCCTGTCGGTGAAGAGTCCCAAGTGAATCCGCTCATTTAGACTAGCGGCCAAGTCCTCGTTTAACTCTGTGAGTGGTAGGAGGAAAAAAATCATATGATGATTTGTTATGTAGGGCATACTGATTTATATATTTAGTAGTGGACTAAGAATGCTGGGACAGGCTATTATCAACTTCTCATAGTATCCCAGTTGCTGCCAAAAAGGTATTCTCAAATCTTGCTTCAAAATTCTCAGAAAGAGACCTCTGTACTCTCTGACTGAAACAGAGATTACTGGCTATTTGTGTTAATGGAGTTAAGATTTGAAAATTTAGTATTAGAGTGGGACAACCTTAGTTCTTGTACAAATTTGCTCCCCACCCTACTCCATCCCTTGCCATTTTTGGTTTTGGCAACCTCTAATGTGATAATTTTAGTAGTTATGAGTTTGAAGTTGTATCTGGGAAAAAATGAAATTTATCTTACATATGACAGGCATCCAAAAGAGGTTTGTTGAGTTGAAAATTACATTTTTAAAAGCCCAATAAGCATTTGCTAATGAAATACCTAAAATATAATTTTCAACTAATCCATGCCATATAATGATTCGAATGTAGGTTGTGTTTTCCCTTAAATTAAGAGATTTATAAAAACTGAAAATGGTCCATAACTGGTGTTAGTTTTCTGAGCATGTGTGTATGTGTGACCCTGTCAAGAACATCTCATTTTAGGGGCATGATATTATATATACATTATATTTTATACATATTATATACATATTTAGGAGTCACTTATATTTTGACCAATACTCTATTAATAAAGTCAAGAATCTAACATTAATCCATATCTATTCATCCTGACTCACCTGAAAGGGTTCCATATGCTCATCTCAAAGGAAAGAAAAAGCAAATATGTTCTACAGTTCCTCCCCCTATCCCTCAACCAAAAACAAATGACTAAAAACCATGGGAGCTAGCTGCCACATATAGGCACATATCAATATCTAGCTTCCACTTCTGGTATGTTTGGTAATGTCTTGTCATACATCAAATAACTTGCAAGAGGGGCAACTAGATAGCACAGGATAGAGCTCTGGCCTTGGGGTTAGGAGGATCTGGGTTCAAATCCGGACTCAGATACTTGACACTTCCTAGCTGTGTGACCCTATGCAAGCCACTTCACCCTGACTGCCTCACCCCCCCCAAAACAAAAAAACATACACACAAACAAAACTTGCACGCCAAAAGGGACAAAAGTAACCTTGATACATATATCACACATGCATATAGTGACTGATTTACAAGTGCTACATAGCAGTATGAAGTACAAAAACCAAGTATCTCAAAGAGAAACTTGTGAATGGAAAACCAAAATAGATTATTTAAGCCAATTCAACTTAATCGGTTTGGGGTCAATATATATATTAAAAAAAAAGAACAGCAGTTATAGAGTCAGAAGAATTGCGTCTGAATCCCATACCTGCTACTATTATACATGTGAGCTGGGGCAACTAGCTGGCACAGTGGACAGAGCACACTGGGCCTAGAGTCAGGAAAAGCTGAGCTTAAATCCAGCCTCAGAAACTTACTACCTGTGTGACCCTGGGTAAGTCATTCAACCCTGTTTGTCACTTAACTCAGTGACTGGCACACAGTAAGTACTACATAAATTTTAGTTATTATTATCACTCTGCTTCTCTGGGTCTTCGTTTTCTTATCTATAAAATGAGAACACTGGAAGAGATGATCTCCGAGATTCCTTCCAGCTCTAAAGTGTCTGTAAGAACTCAAATGTGGGCAATTCCATCCTCCCGGTTCCTCAGGCTCGAAACCCGAGTCATCCTTGATTCCTCACTGCCTCTCACTCCCTGCACCTACGCTGTTGCCAAGACCTGTTAATTTTACCTTTGCAACATCTCTCAAATATGCCCTCTTTTCTCCCAACATTTCCACTACTCTAGTGCAAGCCCTCATCACCCCATGTCTGGACTACTATAATAACCTGCTGGAGGGTCTGCCTGCCTGCCTGCCTCAAGTCCCTCCCCACTCCAGTCCATCTTCTATTCAGTCACTAAAGTGACTTTCCTAAAGTGCAGGTCTGACTATGTCACCCTCCTACTCAAATTCCAGTGGTTTCTTAAAGCCTCTAGGATCAAATACGAAAGCCTGTTTGGCTTTCAAAGTGCTCTATACCAAGCCCCTTCCTACCTTTTCAGTCTTCCTCACCTTACTCCCTGACACGTACTTTGATCCCGTGACACTGGCCTCCCGAGTGCTGCATAAACGAGACAGTTCATCTCTCAGAGCATTTTCTCTGGCTATCACTCATGCTTGGAATGCTCTTCTTCCTCTGCTCAGACTACTTAACTTCCCTGGCTTCCATTACATCCCCATTAAAATCCCATCTTCCACTGAAAGCTTTCCCTATTGCCTCTTAATTCTGGTGCCTTCCCTCTGTTAACTACTTCCTGTCTATTCTGTATCTAGCGTGTGTGCTTTGTATCTATTTTTTGGCACGTTGTCTCCCCCATTAAACGGAGGGCAGGGACTGTCTGCTGCCTCTTTTTGTGTCCCCAATACTTAGCACAGTGCTTGGCACGCAGTAGGTGCTCAATGTTTTCTGACTGACTGAGCCACGGGTAGTGGTTAGCTGGTTATCTACTAACTACACTTTGATCTCTTGTCTAGTACTTTTATTATGGATTCCTTGCTCAAAAATTTTCAAAACCGTCCAGAGCCTAGAGTCTAAAACCTAGCGTGGTACTAACAAATCTTCATACCACGTGCTATTTTTTTCTACGTGGAATGCCTTCCTACTCCTCTCTGTCCATTTAATTCCGCCTATCTCTCAGGGCCTCAGCTGAGTTCCATGATTTTGATATTCCAAGATAGAAGTGGGACTTGAGGGCATGAAGAAGGATAGGCAAGCTCTAGATGAGAGTAAATAGTTTCCTGAAGACTGTGAGTAGAGAAGATCTAAGAGGTTAGGAGGTCCTTTCTTGTACCTTTGGAATGTTTCACAGTTGCCAGCACCAAACAGTCCTGGTGGAGCTCCTCTTTGGACCTGTGGTCCAAGGCTGTACTGACAGGTAGAATAGAACGTGCCTTTTTCTTCTTTGCGAGGGCTTCTGAAATAGAATGAAAACAGTTTTGCTTTGGCAGGGCTGCTGAGCAAGCAGTCACTGTGTGCTTTCTGTGCATAAGGTACTAGATCATGCCTTACACTGGGTAGGGAGTGGGGGTGGGGGGGGGAAGAGAAAGAACAAAAGATCCTCTCTGTTCATATTGTGTTTAGAGTTCAGGTTGGTGGAATGGCGCATACAAATGAAGCAACTCTACTCCAACCATGCATACAAACCAATGCTGAGGTAGGACAAATTCCTCAGTGCTTCATGGTGGCCATACTGGTGAGTGTGCGCTGTGGCACATCTTCCATTCTGTTCGGTAGGCTCCTTGTGTGGCCTACTGACCCTGCCCACGTGTACTGGCTGAGAGTCCCATGAGTTCTGAGAAGTTCATTGTCAGATAATTATTTTGTTTTGGCCACAGAACTCAAGAAAAGGATATATTCTATACTGTTCCTTGGTCACATCATGAAGACCAAAATGCTAATAGGCTTTTTTTTTTTAAAAGCACAGCCACTCTACCCTAGTTGCAAGAAAATGTACAATTTGGTCCTTTTAGAAACAAAATATATTTTACCTTTTTGTGACACAAACCTGACTTCTCTTTAGGTAGATCCTTTTTGGGCACAATCACTTTGGGATTAATTGGAATCTTTGGCTTTTCAAATCCCGAGGAAATGGGTGAGTATGAAGGTAACTCTTTGGAAACTGCAACACGGAAAGACAAGCACACAATAATGGACCAATCTCTGATGCCAAGTCCCACAAATCACACAAGCACCGTATGATTAAAATCCCTTTGAGAAAGTGAAAACAAATAAAACAAGCAGTCTATATCTGCTAATATTTGGTTGTTTAGAATGTAGAATACATTTTCCATAGTAACAGCATTATAAATGGTTCTTAGGTTCCCAGGCTAACTTACAACAGCTATAATAATTCATATTTAAGCATCCTTTTAAGTTTTACAAAGCATCTTCTTTAAGACAACCCTGTGAGGTGAGTATTGTATGTGTGTGCATGTGCACACCCACCCACCACATATAAAATATAAAAATGATATAATATTGAACCAGGGAAGATGAAATGCCAAGAACACTTTGTCTTCTTCACATGCCAGGTCATGGAACTTTCTCTGGTTTTCATAATAGTAGCTCTAGTGGTGGGGGAAAGGCCTAAGGTCTGGGGCTCTGACAACGGGACAATGGAGTCTGCTGTACTGATGGAAGAATTAGATCAATCAGTAACTAGAGTTTTAATAATTTTTTCCCTTAATTTTCCAATGCCCACCCCCATTGCCCTGGGGCAATTTATTTTATATATTACTTTACCCATTACTTTGTAGAGAAAAACAAAAGCTATCAGTCTGAAATGCTTTTGTTTTTCCTACTCCACGCTTCAAAACCTCTCTATGCTTTTAAATACCCTCCCTTTCTTTACTTGGGTTGTTGAGTAAGTAGCCTTTTTCCATGTTCTCTTCTTGTGTCCTTAATTCCCTCCCCTTCCATCCTCTCCAAGAGCTTTAAGCCCACTGATCATTCCCTCCCTCATCTTCAATTTCTTTCTAACCACTGGTTCTTTCTCTACCACCCACAAATGTACTCGGTCAATCCCTATCCTTAAAAATTCTTCTCTTGACCCTGCCACCCCTTCAAGCTATTCATCTGTACTTCTCCCTTTTATTGCCCAATTCCTTGGAAAGAAATCCTTATACTCACTGCCTCTATTGCCTTACCACTTAGTCACTCCCAAAATCCTTGCAAACTTGCTTCCTACCCTACTACTTGAATGAAAACTGTACCTTCCAATGCTAAATGGGATGGCCTTTTTTAGGCCTTAAGCATGTGATCCTTCTGAGTAGCCTTTCATCCCAGACGTACTTTTCTTCCTCAGGTTTTGTGACATGGTTCTCTCCTACTTCTTCTCTTAATTGACACCTGGATCATTATCCAACTTCTACCTTCTTCTCTAACTTGTCTCCCAGAGCTTTGTTCTGGGCCCTATTTTCTCTTCGTGATTTTTCCCTTGCATACTAGTCCTACAGTGATAACTGCTGGCTAGATACATGCCCCTAGATGTCCTTAGACATCTCAACCTCGATATGCCTGATATATAACTCATTATCTTCCCTCTTCTCACCCTCTAAAACCCAACCCTCTTCCAAACTTTCCCTTCTGTTAATGGTGCCACCACCTTTAGAATTACCCCAGGTGTGACGCCCAGAATCATCCTGGACTCTTTCCTCTTACCCTTATAGCCAATTAGTTCTCAAATCTTAACATCTTGTATCTGTCCTTTTCTCTCAACATATATAATCACCATTCTACCCATGCCACCTCATTGTTCTTTCTGCATCTAGTCTCTCGTGTCCAACCCAAAGGACACAGATTTAGGACTGGAACGGGCCTTAAAATTCATCAAGTTGAGAAATCTCATTTTCAGATGAGGAAACTGAAGCAAAGAGAAGTTGAACAACTTGCTCAGGATCACATAACTGGCAAATGTTTGAGGTGAGATTTGAACCCAGGTATTCCTAATTCCAAGCCCAGCACTCTACCAACCACTGCATACTGCTATCCTTCATGAAGTGTCAAAATAATCTGAGACACAGGTGTGGCTCCTCATTGTCTACAGGATAAAACAAAAACGCCCTTTCCAATCACATTTGCCTTTTCAGTCTTACTTCATACTACCTTCCCCTTCATGAACGCTATACTCTAAAAATGAGTACTCTATTGACTGTCTACATGTATTCATACAAGCCAACTTATCTCCCCCCACCCTCCACAATGCACTCCTTTCTCATTCTTCCTTCTAATCTTATTAATTTATTTTGATTTATCAACAATCACTTCCATATGCTTTTGAGTTTAAAATTTTTCTCTCCCTTCCTCCCCATCACCCTCCCCAAGACGGCACACAATTGATATAGGCTATACATTTACATTCCTATTAAACATGTTTTCACATTAGTGATGTTGTAAGGAAGAATTAGAACCAATAGGAGGAACCACCAAAAAGAGGAAACAAAATTCAACAGAAGAGAAAAAAAAATAGCAAAGAGTATGCTTCGATCTGCACTCAACTTCCATAGTTCTTTCTTCGGATGTGGATAGCATTTCCCAGCCCGAGGCCTCGGGAGATGTCTTAGATCCTTGCATTGCTGGGCAGGGTTCAGTTTATCAATGTGAGTGATCACACAACCTTCTTCTAACTTTGATCTTCCTTCGGCACTCAGGTCAGGCAGCATCACCTTCTTGATGCCTTCCTTCCTACTCCCCTCCATTATCAGTGTGCTCTTGTCTTCCACAATTTTTGTCATCCTATACCTATCTGTGTACATGTAGACCCCTTTCTCACAGACACAAGTGTAAGGTCTTTGAGAGTAAGCACTGTTTCTTTGTATCCCCAGTGTCTGGAATATAGTAGAGATTTGGCAAATGTTTGTTGAATTGAATTTATATGGACTGGTTATTTGTAAACTTTCAAGTGCTTTAAAAATGTATATGCATTAAAATAAAATCAAAATGAACAGATGACCCAAACACGAAAGATCATACCATCAACAAATGAGAGAGGACGCCATGACCTGCCTTTCACAGCTATGTTGGGCTAGGCTGGGCTGAACTGCTGGGCTGGGTGTGAGGTGATTTCTTAACCAAACGAGGGATTAGAGGCAATTCACAAAAGACAAAACTGAAAAGCTTTAGCACAAACAAAATATTAATTCTGTAAATACACTAAGAAGTGGAGCCTTTTGCTGGGGAAAAAACTTATGCATTATGTATCTCTTACAGGGTGTGACATCAATTATTGAATAAATATTTATTAAATGCTTTCTACATGTCTGGCATCGTGCTTAAAACTCTCTACTTCCAATGAGCTTATTGTACGGGGTTAGCAAAAAAGATTCAAGAGCCACTCTTCAAAGGAAAAGTTTCATTCTCAAAGAATGACATATTAATAGTGATGGTATGAAAGACTATTTCAATTTACTAATGAGGAATACAAATTAAAACACATCATACCCAGCAAATTGGTAAAGATGAAAAAAGATGAGAACAATCAATGTTGGATGGGTTGCAGAAAGACATAAATCATTACTGGGGGAGGTGTGAATTGATTCAGACTTTCTGGAAAGCAGTTTGCAATTCTCCTGAAAAGAAAGGAACAGTCTGACAGAGAGATCCCACTACTAGGCAGGTATATACTGAAAGGAGGTTGAGACAGAGTGGTCCCATTTATACCAAAATAATCGTAGCAGTGCTTTTTTGTAATAGCAAAGAATTGAAAACAAAGTAGATGCCCATCAAATAAGGAAAGTAACGGAATATTCCTATGCTCTAAGAAAACAATGAATATGAAGAATCGCGAGGCTGAATACATAGATATGGGAGTCATCTATGCAAAGATGATGATTTAACCCACTGGAGCTGACTAGTAAAGTAAGAACCCTTTAAGGCACAGGAAAATGCACCAGTGCCCTTATCTTCTTGGCTCTGGGATGCAACAGAGAAGAAAGCTGGACTGGGGAGGGAGCATCCATATCGATGAAATAAACGGTCCATTTCCATACTGAGGTATAAAACTTGGACACTACCATCTGCTTTTCTGTACCCAGTGCTATTCCTTCTTACCAATCTGATATAATTTATACTTGCTATACACCTTTATCAATACAGTATCAAATGTTTAAATAGATACTCCCCAAATCAAGATATCACTTATGAAAATTAGAATAACTGCTTTAGAGGAGTAAATGGTCCCCTGAAAGAGATGACGTATCTTCCAAAAGTACCTAAGGCACAGCTAAGACTGAGGCGCTAGGAGAATCAGGGTCCTGTTGTAGGAGGCAGAACAACTTCTAGAACAGGGGTTTTTAACTTTTTTTGTATCATGAACTCTCCGTTAGCAGTTTGGTCAAGTCTACAGATGTCTTTTCAGAACAATGTTTTTAAAAGCATAAAACAAAACATGCAGGATCACAAAGAAAAACAACTGTTTTGAAATACAGTTATCAAAGTATTGAAAAAGCAAGTTTATGAGCCCCCTCAAAACTAGATTCAGACCTTAGGTGAAGAACTCTTATTCTAGAAGGTGCATGGAAAATTGTCTTGTATATTAATTTTTATGACTTTGCCTGCTGTTTGAGAGGTGGGAAGTAAAATTTATTATAGTCTATATTTATATTCCCTTTCACCACAACCTTATCTGTCATGTCCAAGGAATCACAGATGACTACTATTTACCATTTGAAGAGATGCTGTTGGGAATCTCTGGCTCTTGTACTTCATCTTCACCTTCCTGGTCTGACAGCCCATTTTCAATGGGTAGAGAGCTGTCCTTGGCGCAGTCCTCTCCATTGGCCACAGTCACCTCCTGCTTTGTTGCCACTTTCCCTGCCAGTTTTTTCTTCTTCTTGATCTTGGGTTTAGGCTGCGAGAGCCTTTTCTTCTCTAACTCAATACTTTTTTTGCCTGAAGGAATAATAAATCAGAAAATAATGAACTAAAAAGTTGTTAGCACACAGGACTGAGGTGGGCAGTCTCTCGATATGGGACACTGATTTTGTAGGCATAATAAAAGGTGTTTCTTCCTAGTGCAGTTTGAATTACATACAACAGCAGCTTCTGAGACTGAGTTAAGATGCCCATGTGAGAGGACCAAAATGAAAGAGCCAGGAATTCTCATACATTACACAGAAAACAAAGAGAAATACCAAAAAGAAAACAAATAACCAAATATGTGTGCATATAAAAAAAAAAGCAGTAACTTAAAAATCCAGCAGAAGTAAAGAAGCTAAAAACCTGAGAAGAATAAAAGTGGAAAAAAAAAGAAGCAAAACAAAAATCCTTAGATGGAAGAATGACAGTCAAATTCATTAAACAAGAACTGGCAAAACTAAGAAAATCGTAAGATCAGACAAAAGAAGAGTAGTAAGAAAGTACAAAATCAGTTAAAGAAATGAAAGGAAAATAAGAGATGTGAAAAGAAAATGACAGAGGAACTTAGGAAGAAAATTACTAATATGGAAAGTACAATCCAAAGTATTTCCTACAATCCAAAAGAGCCACAAACAGGAGACTTAGTACAGTGAAAAGTGGAATGGTGTCTAGTCCAGATCATCTGGAAATATAAGCTCAACAAAAACCCACTGAATTATCCCAACAATTGGAAAACATCAGTGACCTTATCCACCAATAAGCAAATGTTCGAGCTGAAAAAATACATCGGAAATGGGAGAGAAACACCTAGGAATGTTGGGTTTGTTATACATGTCCACAGTATTTTAAAGTACACTCACACATATACATACACATGTTTATAATAATTTTCTAACAGATATTTGCTCTGTACCACCCGTATGCACTCCAGGTTTTTTAAATACTCACCCTGAGGTGGCCGGGTATGATCCTGCATTGAAATCTGCCATTTGTGTACACAGAAATCATCTGCCCCTGAAAAGACTGAATCTGGATCCAGTGGAGACCACTGAACACAAAGTAATCTTCCCCGGTGTCCCCGGTAATTGCAGAGAGGCTCTTCCCTGAGAACATCCCACACCTGAACGAAACCAACAATAACCCATGAACAGAATCTCAGAGCAGTATTTTTTTACTTCCTTCATTGTATTCATTGTTCCTTCAATATATTCTTCCCCTCACTTGGAAGTCAGGGAAATCAAACTGAAGAGTTACTAAGACTCTCATACAATACATAAACCTTTTGCCTTCCAGGGCCCTACACAAGCCATCCACTGACACAGGGGAGAGTATTTTCTCATAATAACTACTGACATTTATAAAGTGCTTTGCTGTTGTTCAGTCATTTTAGTTATGTCTGACTCTTCATGACCCCATTTGGGGTTTTCTTGGCAGAGATACTAGAGTGGTTTGCTATTTCCCTCTCCAGCTCATTTTACAGATGAGGAAACTGAGGCAAACAGGATTAAATGACTTGCCCAGGATCACACAGCCAGTAAGTGTTTGAGGCCAGATTTGAACTCAGGTATTCCTGACTCTAGGCTCAGTGCTCTATCCATTGTGCCACCTTGCTGCCCTATATATGTATCTATATCTACACATATATACACACATACATATACATATATATATATATCTACACATATATACACACATACGTACATATATATACACACACACACACATACACACATATATGTGTGTGTATATATATACATACACACACACACACACATACAGAGAGAGAGAGAGAGAAAGAGAGAGAGAGAGCGAGCGAGCGCTTTAGGCTCACTAAGCACTTCTACATTAATTTGATTCTCACAACAACCCTGTAAGGTAGGTACTGCAGGTATTGTTATTTCCATTGTACAGATGAGGAAACCAAGACACAAAGTGGTTAAGTGACTTACCTACACACACAAAGCTAATAAATTTCTAAGAGTCAATTCTAGATCCTATGCAACTTCAAACTCAGGGCTTTCTTTTAAACCATGATGCTCAAAGGCAACATTGTGAAGAACATGGTAAGGCAAGTGACTATTATTATAGGACTTCATTAAGCAGGGACAGAAATAAGGCATAAGTACCTGAGCTGTGCCATCATAGGAAGCAGATACTAATCTTCCATCGTGATGAGGGCTCCAAGCCAGACTAGTGATTTTAGCTGTATGTCCAGAGAGTGTTCGAAAGGGTTCTGTAATTGTCACTGGTGATTCTGGGGTGTTCTCTGTAAGACAAGCCATAGATGACACCATTATCATAAAAAGTAACCCAGTGTACAGAGGAGAGAATATGCCATAGTACAATCAAAATGCAGTATTCTGAAAACTACTGCAAATCTTTAATAAACACTTTTGGAATGCCTAAAATAATAAGCACTTACATCAACACTTTGCCCTTTATAGTGTCATGAAAGATGTGACCTCGGCTGACTCCATGCTCACAACAAGCTACAGCAGGAAACAGAGACTCAGAGTGGTTCAGACATTTCTCCAAGGTCATAAAGTGAGTAAACTGGCAGAGCAGGGACTCAAACTTGTTTTCTGACTACAAATCAAGTTCTAGTTCTAGTTAGTTTTGCACAAATCTAATACAGGAGGGAAATACAAAGTGAAAAGTATCTTTCCAGCAACTTTCTTTGATAAAAGTCTCATTTCTAAGATACATAAGTGATTCAAATGCATAATAAGAGCCATTCCCCAAATGATAAATGGTCTAAGGGTATGAATAGGTAGTTCTCAATATATGAAAAAATGTTCAAATCATTAATAATTATAGAAATGCAATTAAAGCTATTCTGAAGTTCCACTTCACACTCATTAGATTGGCACAGACGATAAAAAAAGAAAATGACAAATGTTGGAAGGATTGTGGGAAAACAGGCACATTGGTACACTGTTGGGGGAAGCTGTGAATGAATCTAACCATTCTGGAATGCAATTTGAAAATATGCACAAAAAGTTACTAAATAAGGATGTCTTTTGACCCAGACATGCCACTGCTGGGTCTAAACCCCCAAAGAGACAGAGGAAAGGAATAGGTCTTTTACATATAAAATTATGTTAGCTCTTTTTGTGGAGGCAAACTTGGAAACTAAGGAGATGTCTCCAAATTGGGGAAGAGCTGAACAAATTGTGGTATATGATGCAATACTACTGTGCTGTAAGAAATGTGTTAAAAGATGATTTCAAAGACATGGAAAGTATTGTATGAACTGAACAGTGAAATAAGCAGAACCAGAAAAACCATTTAATGATTATAAAAACAAACAGTTTTGAGAGGCTTCAGAACTCTGATCAATTAAATAATCAACCATTATTCCTGAGTACCAATAAAGTGCCATACTTCCTAACTCATAACAGAGAGATAATGGACTAATATGAAGAATAAGAAATTCATTTTTGGATGTGATCAATATAGAAGTGTTTTGCCAGGGTGTGTTCCTGTAACATAGGGGTCCTGATATTTCTTTGTGTCTTTCTTCAGTGGGATGATGGGAAGGAAAAACTCAAATGCTTCATAATTTCAAATAATAAGTTCTAGTTCCATGCCACCTCTCAGGTGATATAGTGGGAGGACACTGTATTAAACACAAAAATATAATCAGCAAGCAAAATAAATTCACTTAATTTACCAATTTATCCATGTGCCAATTTAAATGCTTTAAAAAATCTGGCAACCATCCCCAAGATCAGAAATCAAAATTGTTGGGACACAGACATAACCTTTCAAGATATCATTTCTTACATGTCAATTCCAAAGCTTATTTATAGTTTGCTTTAATGGAAAAACTTCAGATACACTTTTGGTTCTTTTTTTCTTTAAATACTGATAAATCTGGTTATAAACAACACTTGGAAACATGTTGGAAAGAATGTTCCATACAATAAAAAAGATAACATTTGTTTCCACCACAGCTATGCACAAAGAAAATCAGTCAGGTATTTATGGCATATATACTAGGTACGCTCAGCACTGTGCCATCTGGAGAGTGGAATACAAATACAAGAAACACAATTTCACTGGGAAAATATTTAATGATACCACTCAGTAAATAAGTACCAAATATAAGTGGTATGGATGCTAAGTACTGTAGGAAGTTAGAGGAAAAAAGATTATTTCCTGTAGGTGTGATAAAGGAACTTCACAGTAAAGGTAGAACATAAATTGGACCTTGAAGGTAGGTAGTGAAAGTGAGGGTGACATGTCTTGGGAACAGTAAATGAATCGGTTTAGTTACAGTCAATATTTTATGTACGTGAGAAATGGAAAACAAAGCTAGACAAGTAGGGTGTCTTTGATCTTGTAATGCAACTGGTAAGCATGGAAGGTTTCTGTGTAGAGGAGAGACATGACCAATGTGATGTTTTAGGGAAATGAATCTGGTATCTGATTTACCTTTAAGAGGGTAAACTGATGCAGCCTGTTAAAATGGTACAAAGTCTGGTGTGGAAAATTACTTAACTATCAATGTCTCACTTCTGTTAGGTTAGTAACAAAAGCCGAAATGCCATTACCTATCACACTCTTCAAGTTATGCACATAAATGACAGCATTGTTGGATCCGGAAGCTATCAGATAGCTTAATTCTGGGTTGGTCCCATGCTCATGGTGCCATCGAATGGCATTCACTAGCTTGTGGTGCTGCTGAATAGTGCAGATCAATTTTAAGTTAGGAGCCTGAAATACTTCTATGGATCTGAAATGAGAAACGATATATCAAGGCCAGAAAAATGAGGGATATTAAAATCCTATTCAAACAGTATCTCTCTTCTTCTACCAAACTGAGAAGAGATAAGTAGTCTCATGATGATTCTGCAAATTACTTACTGTACCAAAAAAATAAAAAAGAATTGGGTCTAACAACTAGGATTCTCAAATTAAGCTTACACCTTAAATGACAGCTAACATTTAGAGAGTTTTAAGGTTTACAAAGAGCTTTATATACATATCTTACAATTTTTTGTTTAAGCCACAAAATCTGTGAAGCTTGGAGGGCCAGTGACTGTTAAGCAGCTTATACTACATTCTTAATAACTAATGTATCCTAGTTGTGTGACCCTGGGCGAGTCACTTAACCCCATTTGTCCAAAAAACCAAAACCACAACAACAACAACAAAAACCTAACGTATCAAGTGCTTTATAGCTATCAGGACTTGTCTAACAAATCTCAAGTGATCCTCAAAACAACTGTGAGGTGGATCATCCAACCAGAGCACTGTGTGACAGAGGAGGCCTGGACTGGTTCTCTGCAACCAAGGCTTGTAACTATGGCCAGACCCTCTTTCTATCCTAACATTCTGCTTCTGTTGCTTTTACGTCAAGATAAACATTTTTTTTTAAAGAGGCATCAAATACTATTTTCCTGAAAGATAACACAGAAAGAAAGCTCACTTAAGGGTATAGAACAATTCTGCTTAACTTCTCTTTCTTTAAAGGTGTAGATGGATTTGCTCTCAACATCAGGTTCAATGCAGGAAACATCATTACTATTGTGGCACATGTCATGTGCTATGGAAGGGGCAGCAATACAGCAGCACACTCTTCCTTTATTACCATGGAAGATGCCCAAATCATTCCTCGTGGCTTCCCCCACGTCAGATGCCTCTTGCAGCAACAGCAGATCCAAAGTAACACTGGGTTTCCCCAAACAACATTACAGATGGCATTCTCCAACTGGTAATGAAATATATATGAAAATGACAATTAACAAAAAACAAACACACACACATACCCATCTTCATTGCCAAGAGTCATGATTGTGCCATCTGCTTTCCAGCTGATCTCTGTGTGTGCTGGCAGTTTGTACTAGAAAACAAAACAAAACCATCTTTACTCTAGCTGTTCTACACCACAAATTCTACAAACTTGTGATGAGGCAAGTATGAGGGGAAAATTCTTTAAAAAAAACTTTTAAAAATTCTGACTATGGGATAAACTATATTTGTAATTAATTCACAGTGAAAAGCTAAATGATTAATGCCAAGTTTTCTGGGATATGCTTTCTCCTAGTACAGATAAACAAGGAGAAACATGACCTTATAAGAAAACGATGAGATTCCAGATATTTCTGTTCTACAAAACGTCATGTAAGATAAAGATTCCTGATGTCAAAATTAAAGGGCATCTATGCCATCATTCACTATTTTCTAAGCACTTACTGTGTATGAGGTATAAATGCATTAGGTATTGTGGGGTAAAAAAAGACATGTACTCTCTGCTTCCAAGGAGTTCACAGTTTAGAGATGTGATTTTAAAATTGCTGAAGATAGAGGAGGCTAAATGCTCAATGACTGTTATGGACAATAAGAAGGAAGAGAAGTTACTACGGATTCAGGAAATTATGGAAAGCTTCTTAGAGGAGTTAGGACTTCAACTTGGCTTCAGAGGAGCATCATTCCTCTCCAAACCCAACCTAATAGTCATTTCAGCTGGAATCCTAGGCCCCCTTGTCCTATTATCATTTGTCTCTTGCAAAACCTCAGCCACAGATTACTGCTGCTATCTTCTGATTCTACATGAGCTGTGAAAAACAACTGGATGAAATCTCACAACCATGCAGTGTGAGTATAGAACAAATTCATGTTACTGGACCTCAACTAGGCCCTTTCGACAAGCAAGACAATCCTTTTATTCCTCCATTAATGGATTCCCTAGTCTCCCCAACAAAAGCTATTCTAAAACTTCTATTCTGTCCTCAAGTCTCCCACACTTCCCTCCTTTCCCTAGTCTTTCAGCTCTTGCCTCTTATTTTACTGAGGAAATTGAGGCAATTTTTCCCTTTTTCTTTTCAAAACCTTAGACATCACTTTGCACTCATTCTCCCCCTTTTCTCTAGTCTCTGACAAAGAGATGGTCTCTCTTTTTGCTAAGGCTGACCCCGCCTCCCCCCTGCCTTCATGTGCCGTTAATCCCACCCCTTCCATCTTGTCCAGCAGATTGCGCATACCCTTCTCCCCCCCCCCCCATATCTTCAAAACACTTCCTAGCTGCTGGTTTCTTCACTATTATCTAAAACCTTCACTAGACCCATAACATCTGTTTAAGCTTCATCCTACGTTTCTCCTCTCTTTCTTATTCAAATTCCTTGAAAAAGGTTTCTCTTTGCTACCTCTATTTTCTCTTCTGTCACTTTTCAACCTTTTGCAATCTAGTTTTTGGCTATATCACTGGAATGAAACTGCTTGTTATCTCTTCTTACCTGCCAAATCAATCTTTTCTCAATCTTCGTTCTTCTTGACCTATAGACTGCATCTGATACTAGTGACCAGTCTCTCCTCCAGGATAACTCTCCTCTTTAACCTTTCATGACACCAGTTACTACTTTTCTCCTAGTTCTCCTTCAACCTCTCTGAATCCTCTCCAGTCTCCTTTGCTGGGTAATCATTCATATCCCACTCAACTAAGATAAACCCTAAAGTTTTATCTTAAGTCCTCTTCTCTTTTCCCTCTATGTTTTCTCCCTGGGTAATCTCATCAGCTTCCACGGCTTTAGCTATCATCTTTCAGGGGCAGCTCAGTGACACAGTGGATAGAGCTCCAGCCTTGAAGTTAGGAGGACTTGAGTTTAAATCCGGCTTCAGACATGACACTTACTAGTTGTGTGACCCTGGGCAAGTCACTTAACCCTGATTACCTCAAGCCCCTCCCCCAAAAGGCAACCCCCCCCCCAAAAAAAACAAACAAAAAACCCCTATCAACTTTCCAGAGATATCTATATCTATATTTCTGGTACAATGATACGTACCTGTAGAGATTAGCCATCCTCCTGTCACTGCCTCTTCCTTTCATCTTCAACTGCTCCTTAACCACTGGCTTCTTATCTAATGCCCAAGTTTTGTCCCTTCTTTAAAAAGCAAACAAAAAATTGCCTTCACCCCCACAAAAAGACCCTATCCCTCCTTTTGTTTCGCTCTGCCATGCCCTGAAACTATCAAATTTCTCTTCTAATAGCTAAATTTGTAGAAAAAAAAAAACTTGTGTCCCATTTTCTCACCTCTTAATTCTCAACTCCTTCCAATCTGGTTTCTGAAGCAATTATTGAAATTGCTCCTTCCAAGGTTACCAACAATCTCTAAACTACTAAATCTGACTACCTTTTCTCAGTCCTTATCCTCCCTTGGCTTCCATCATGAAACTCTTGGTTTTTCTCCTACACCTGGATGGTTCCCTTTCAGCTTCCTTTGATCCCAAGTTGATGATCAAGAAGTAATTTTTCATTTCTACTTTATCCTCCACCTGCCAAGTTTCATTAGCTCCCCTACAATTCTCATATTTACTGCTTCTTTACCTCTTCAATAGGTTTTTAATTTGCTTCTTTGTTTCCAATATCTTCCTTTTCAAATCCCTGCACATTGCTAACCTTCATAAGGCACAGGCTTGACTATCTTATCTTTGGGCTTCAATGGGTCCCTACAGCTTTTCGGATAAAGCACAAACTAGTCACCAAAGCATTTAATGCTATCCACGATCTGGCTCCCACCTACTTTTACAGATTTTCCACATGCTATGTTTTTGTCGAATTGTACTGCTAGTTGATCCAAACTCCTCATTCCATCCACCGCCTCTATGCCTTCACACAGACTATAATGTGACTGCAATGCACTCGCTTCTCCTTTCTATCAGAATCCTTGTCTTCAAGGTTCAGTTGAGGGTCTACTTTCCATAACAAAGCCTTTGCTTATCGTCCCTTCCTCCCAACTGTTAGTTTCTCTCTTATCGAAAATATCTTTTATTCACTAATTAACCTATTATATTTGCTGGTAGAATGTAAGTGGGGGCAGCTTGGTGGCACAGTAGATACAGTGCCAAGCCTGGATTCAGAACGTCCTGAGTTCAAGTCTGGCCTCAAACACTATATTTGAACTATGTGACCCTGGACAAGTTACTTTACCCTGTTTGCCTCAGCTTCCTCATTTGTAAAATGAACTGGAGAAGGAAATAGCAAACCACTCCAGCATCTTTGCCAAGAATACCCCAAACGGGGCCACCAAGAGTAGGACACAACTGAACAACAACTTGCAGATAATGGGAGCCTAATAAATGTGTTGAATGAAAAGGTATTAACAATATTACCATTTAACATACCACATGTTCTAACATTTATGTTGACCACATAAAAATTACAATTAAGCAATGTTGAAAAAAATTATTTTGGAAGAATAAAGGATTTAAAGCTTAATTTTCAGACAGACAGAGAGAGAGAACTCCCTGTCTAACACAGCACATAGCAAATAGTAGGTGCTGTTGATTGACTTGTCTTGCAGTTAAATTGCTTTCAGATGACATAACAGCAATGATTGCTGCATTCTTTTCCCTTCGTATTCCCCATGCCCAGGACAGTACCTAGGAAACAGTATGTGCTTGTTTGCCGATTAACTGATTGAATTAGTTGTGACCTTGAGTGAAAAATAATTTGATCTTTCTTGGCCTCATTTGTAAAATGGAGCAACTGATATATTAATTAGTCTAAATACAGCAATTATACCACATGACCTTGAATTCTCACCTAGCTCTAAGAACTGTGATTTATGAAATGTTTCTGTAAATAAGTCAATAAAGCTACTTTTAAAAAAAAGCAGTGTAAGATAGACTTGGAAAAGAAACAAGTTTAAAAAATTATCCTAATAATATGAGTAGTGTTTACCTCAAAGGGCTTTTGTAAAGCTCAAACTGGATAATGGATGTAAGCACTTTGCAAACTCTGAAGCAATTTAAAATACCATTGTACTTGAAATTCTAATTAAACATAACTGAGACCAACTGACTTTGGAGCACAATTTAGTGCCCATTAGAAAATACAGAATTGTTTTAAATGTGACATCCCTTAGGACATCTGAATAAATATATATAACTTTCCACAGTCTCATCCATGACACAGGTCTGGAAACCCAAGAAAAATCTGTATTTCGAGTAATGAAGAAGCTTTGGCTTGCAAAACTTACTTTTATTGCATTGGTATCTCTGATGACTTTATTGACGTTGCAGGCCTCCCCGCTGAGTTTCCAAGGATTGTGTTGCAAAATGACCCCTTCTCCTGCACAACTATATAAAGTTATAGCAGGCTTGTCACCATCTCTGCCTAGGTAAGAAATATGAAAAGGGTCTCACTGAACATGATTCTACCACGCAAAAACAATCCCAATAGAACTATATGTTTCAAAAGCCTAAGTACTGGGTATTTAAAAAAATAAAGATAACTTTCTTGGAGGGAATGTTGTTTTGATAAGCTTGTTGTTATCCAATTACTTTTTTGTACATGAAACTGTGAATCTCTATTGCATGTAGTTTCCTTTTAAAAAGTCTATAATAAATCCAAGAGATGATTTTCAAAAGTGCCTGTTTGTTTCTGTTTTCTTCTTACCTTAGCACACTGCCTGGCACACAGTAGGTGCTTAATACACTTTTACGGATTGCTTTATTGATTAAATTTCCTGCAATGACCCTCCTCCCACTTCTTTTTTGGCAACATTATTATTAGTTTCCTTCTTTACCCCTCAACTGAAAAAAAAGTAAAAGCAAAACTCTTGTAACCAGAAAGAATACTTAATAGTCAAGTAAAAGAAATCTATAAACCGACCATCACTGAAAATGTACTTCTCGTTCTGTACTAACAGAAGAGGATTCCAGTGTACTTTCAAAGCCAATCAAAGGACAATAAGCTATGGAAAGTTGGACATCAACATTTGGACCCTAAAATAGATCTTAATATCCTTCCCTTAAGTATCTACCCGGGTCTTGTGCAAAGCACTGGGATAGTATTTGTTCTCCTGAACGAATACAGTATTTGCTCTCCTGAAGTTTAAAGGGAAGAGACTGCATACAAACAATTTTGGGGAAGAGTGGAAAAAACAACAACACAGTATCTGAACAGGCAGGAATTAGGTAAAATGGGACTGGAAGAGAAGGGTGTTCCAAGTAGAAAGAAAGGGAGACAGAAAAGAACATAATTAAGAAAGCCAGGGTATTTGTGGAGAATTGTAAGCAGTCCAATTTGAATGGAAAATGGGTAACTGACAAGTAACAGAAGTAGATAAAACGAGGGAGGTTGGAGGAAGCTGCTGAACGTTTGACTGTGGAGTTTGGGCTTAAACTGTAATGTAAACCTTCAGGCCACTAAAGGTTTCTGGACAAAGAAAGAGGGGCAAAGTGATTGAAAAATTTACTTCTGTAAGACTAATCTGGCAGCATTGCCAATTGCTAGAGTCCTCCTTACCAAACCATTTTGTATTTAATTGTTTTGCATCTACGTGCAGATGTGTATTTACTAGCTTTATATCGTCTATATTTTTTATACATACTTGTCTCTCCTATTAGAACATAAGTTCACTGTGACTATAGGGACAGTTTCACTCTTAATATCTGTATCCCCAGTGCCTAGAATGCTGTCTGGGACATAGTAGGTACTTTAAAAAATACTTGGAAATTGATTTAATAGAGCGGTTTGTCATTTCCTTCTCCAGCTCATTTTACAGATGAGGAAACTGAGGCAAACAGGGTTCAGTGATTTGCCCAGGGTCACATAGCTAAGGGTCTGAGGCCAGATCTGAACCTGGGAAGAGGAAGTCTTTCTGACTCCAGGCCCTGAATTCCATCCACTTTATCACCCAGCTGCAACAGCTTCTTTGCTAGCTCTTACCTTTTTCTAATTCATTTGTTCATTCACCTCTTACTCTCCCAAACTGTAACAGAACTTAATTGAAATGCTCTGGTCTTAAATACCCTGGGCAAAGGACATTTGATAGAGAAGTAATCAAAGAGGTAGCAACAGAAATGAAGTAAGAGATTTGGGGAATGTGATTTTTAAAAATTCTTTAAAAACCTGTTTATATCTTAATTAACAAACACTTATGTTCTTTCTCTTCCATTCTCCCCTCCCTGGGGGAGGAAGTTGAAAAACAATAAAACAAAACTCTTGCAATAAACATGCAGTTGAACAGAATAAATCCCTACTTTGGCTATGTCCAGAATATATGTTTTATTCCACATCTTGAGTTGGGGGTAAGTCTGACAAGATCCGGCACTGACTGGATGTGTAATCAAAGATGACCTTGAAATTTTGAGCCAGAGTAGCAATAAAGATAATGGTACCGTTAACAGAAACAGAAATTTCAGGAGCACATTCACTATGGAAAACGATACTTTTAGACAAGTTATAGGGAGGTATTCAAGTAGAGATGTCTAATTAACAATTGGAAATATGAGCTGAAGCCAAAAAAAAGAGGGGGTAGGGCTATAGGAATTATCTGCAGAGATAGTAGGTGAAATATTCAGAGTGCACCACGACAGAGAGAGGACACATACTGAGTATTAGTTGTCAAAGACTTATGATTTCCTCAGTAGTTGTTAATTTAAACATGAAAAATAAAGGGCATTGCTGGACTTTTTTCTTTTTACTCATAGAGCTTTATGTTGTTTGAGTTGTTATCTTGCATTATTCATTCTCCTCAGATAAAGTAACTGAATTCCTGACCAAGATAGTGCTAATGGAATATACTAATGGGAGTGGAACAGTTTGTCAGATATCACTGTTCAACACATTACTTTCTCAGCATATGAACTACAAATAAAAGCAGCCACTACCAGGTAATTTTAAAAAATCAACATATAACAACTCCTGTCTCCTGGCTACTTACCCATCCCCAAAGAAATCATAACCTACACCATTTTTGTTAAGCACGTAATTTTAGCCTTTCTAATTAAAGGCTATATCTGCACATATTTTGACATAAGAAAAAAAAATCTGAGTTTTCAACCAATCCTATAATTTCAAGAAATTATGATTAGTGGGGATAAAGTGTTTAGCTGCAGGTTCTTTAGAGTCAAACACCAGTGGAGATTCCTTTTAAAATTCCTTAGACTCAATTTATTAAAGGTGAAATACATTTTGGATTTTTAGGAGCAACCCAAAAAGGGACAGATGCTTTTCAAGTGGCACAGTGAAATAGTTTCAAATGTCTAACACACCCAGTATATTGTTACAGAGAAGACAGGCCGCACAGAAGAGCTAGACAAGTACTGGAATCAGATGACCTACCTCCAACCCCGCTGCTAGTCAGCTATCTGACCAGTTTATAAACCACTAAGACAATACAAAACTAAGACTAGCACTCTCAGTTTAGTTTTGCCTTCCATGTTGAGTTACTAAAACCAGCTTGATATACAGTTCCATACCTTAACGTATTTATATTTGGGCAAATCACCTCCTCTTTGGACTTCTTTTTGAAATGACAGGGTTAAACTAGCTGATTTACAACATTCTAGGATTCTTGAATATGAACCACTTTTTGTAGAATGCCTCTCAAACTTACCAAGTGAAATTGGGGGCACAGGAGGTCCCCAAGCCAAAGAATACACCGTCTTCTTATGATAAGTACTAGAAATTTGTGGAGGTCTAAGAAATAAGAATCACAAGGGTTAAAATACAAACAGGTTCGCTTAAATGCTCTTCCTGTCTGAAATGAAGGGGCTCAAAATCACTATTACTATAATTATTACCAAAATCATTAAGTGCCAAATATATAACATGCAGATATAAACATAATTCTTCTGACTAGGTGCACGAAAAACAATTAATGGAATCACTTCTCTCAAATTTTTCTTTATTTTACTGCCTCTCAATTGGTTGCTGGAGCCAATTAAGTGTTACCAGTCATGAGATAAACATGGTGACACCACTGTAGCTATATGGGAGAATGACTGAAACAGACAAATCTCTTCTATCTGTTAAGAAAAAATGATGCCAGCTGCTCAGTTCAGTAGCCATAGGAAACATCTGGGTTTTGTTGCTAAGTAATGATCATTAGTACACTGATAAATTTTTTCTTGAAAACAAGCAAGACATTCTATTCTATCAAATCAAGATGTTTAAACATCCTTAGTAAGGGCAACTCATATATAATAATGGATCGGTTAAGTTTGGGATCTAGTAGTCACAAAAACGATCCACTCTTCAAAGCGAGGAGAGATGGATTAGATAATCTTCACGTTCTTTCTCGATCTAACAAAGCAGCAGTCTCTCAGAAGTGACCATGTCATTCTAAATCGGACCCTTGGCCCCTAAATCACTTCAGCAGCCAATCAAAAATTGTTCAACTGACATTCACGCCTTACTTGTTGGAGCAGGTGTCATACATTCCCACTTTTCCATCATCAGTTCCAAAGGCCAAACAACCTTCCTTAGTTGGATGCCAAGATAGCTGCAAAAGAGCCCCCAAATGAGGACAACTGAGATGCAGTCATACAGATCCCAAGACACTCTCATCCAATCTTATGTATAACATTGGATTATCACATTCTGAATTTCACAGATGACAGGTCTCACATAGGGTGCTTTGATCTATTCTAGCTACAATTTCTACAGGAAAAAATTCTTAGACTACTATCTAGACCAATTCATTTTAGGGTGTTCAGAGGAAAAATACTTTTTTAAAAAGTCTGATCAGACAATATGGCCGGGGGGGAAAAGGCAGAAAGTGAGCTAAAAACACTCTTACCGAAGTAACCTTGGATTTGATGCCCTGCCAAAAGGTCTTCACATCATGGTTGTTTTTTATGGACAATGTATTCCACACCCGGATCATGCCATCTCCAACACCTATGGCTAAACAGCCCATGTCCACAGGGGAGAAAGCCAGACTATAGACAAACCCCCCAAGGGAAGGCATTGTCCAACAGCATTCCAAGGTTGTCAGGTCCCAACATTTCACCTGCAAAGTTTGACAGAAAGGGGCCGAGGTTATTCATTAAGGAAGTAAACTAGATAAACAAAATTAAGAAACTGAAAGTTCAAAACTGAGGGGAGGGGGAGGAAATGGCAGGAAAAAGAACATATCTGAGGGAACTGAGTAAAGCCAATACCTCAAAAATTGGTTAAACTCTTCTATTAGGACTGTGTGTGTATGTGTGAGTGAGTGAGTGAGACAGAGAGAGAGAGAACATAACTCCAAATTAAATAATCTTTTAGCTATAAGGGAACTTAGAGACCACCGAGTCCAAGTCCAATCTTTTCATTTTTTGGATAAGTAAATGGGAGGCCCAAAGATATCAAATAATTAATAAAATCCACATCTCCTTGGCTCCCTGAGTACAACATTCTTTTCACTTTATAGAACTGCAGCATTTTTCTACAGTGATCATAAAACTCTAGAAATCGGTAACACCTAAGGGATATAACGTTGAAAGGGAGCTGTAGTACTGTAACACTACACAGAAAAAAAGGGTAGGTTTTTAAATGCCAAGAAGTCCCTTAAGGAAAAATGCATTTCATCTAGTAAATATAGCCTAAAAGCAAGCCAAGAAGAAAGGGAAAAAGACAGGGTCTTCTAATACGGCTAGTTTGCAGCCAGAGCAATTTCATATTAAGTAGACTGTTCCATTAAAACTTGGAAACAGAAAGTTTTAAAGTTGGGTCATGAGAGGTTCCTGTGAAGAGATGTGCCAAGGAAACTGAAACATGCTGTTTAGTCATTAAAAAACTCAAAAGCCTTCCCCACCAAAGTTCCACTACAAGTGCTGGCAGCAATGGCACAGAGAAGGTAGAAACCCTTTAAAGAAGCTTCTGGGGTTCAGCTGTAAAAGCTCTTCCCAGCCTCACGATCCTTAACAAAGATCTTCCTCTTTGGAATGCTATGTTCACCATCTGTTCTTCTTTACCATATATTTATTCAACAAATGCAACTTACATCCCTATCCATAGAAATGGAAAGCAGAAGCTCTTTTTCTTCAGTCTGGACCGAACATAAATTAAACACAATCCTTGAGTGATTCTGCCCCTCTGATGAGTTGCTAAAGAGGGTGCATTTTCGTTTCCCAGAATGGGTGAGATCCCAGAGTAGCAATTCACCTCTGTAAAGGGAAAGACTGATTAGTTAATTGTTCATATGAAGAAAACAGTGGTGTGGTTGTAGCCAGGGTTCTCCAAAAGGCAATAGTTCCTCTTTCCCCTCTATTACATTTCTCCTTCATGTTAAAGTAATTAAAATATTTATACACAAATAACTTGCTAGAGCATTTGCTACATTCCATCATTCCTAAAGTGACCAGAGTCGCTTTCAACTATGTTTAATCCTTTCTTTTCTTACCTTCCCTAGAAACTGAACTTCAGGAAGTGACTCAGAAGACAAATAAAAAAATGAAAGACATAATAAAATAAAGTCCGATAAAGCCTACTCACCCAAAACAACTGGATACCAGCTGGGTAGGTTGGCCAGTGGGCCAGAATATAGTCAACCAGATCCGCTCTTTAACTGTGGGATCCACACTCCCCCCTCGTCTCTTTAGAAAGGGCAATTTCAAAGTCATCACTCCTATAGATAAGAGGTTATTCACAGTTGAGCACTAAAATATTATCATTGAATAATTAACTGAATCAGGTTAATAAACATTTATTAAGTGCTATGTGACAGACATTATACTAAGTGCTGGTAAAGACAGTCACTACTTTCAAAAAGCTCACATTCTAATGAGGGAAACAACCTACAAATAATGAAATACAAACAAGACACAAGGTAAGTGGAAATCTACCTCAGAGGAAAGGCATAGCAACGGAAAGGGGGTGGAGAAAGGCCTTCTAGAGTAAGTGGGATTTTAGCTGAGTTAAAGGGAGCCAGGGGTACTAAGTCAGAGGTGAGAATAGAGAGCCAGGGCAAAAGGTATGGAGCAGAGAGATGGAATGTAATGGGTTAGGAACTGGGGGAAGTAGGCCAGTGCAGCTGTATCTTAAGAGTACGTAGAGGAGATTAAATTATAAGACTGGAAAGCAATAAGGGGGCAGGTATGCAGAGTTTTAAATGCCAAAGCACTTTTTATTTGATCCTGGAGTAAACAGGAAGGTAACATGGGGGAGACCTGAGTTTCAGAAAAATTGCTTTGGCATCTGAGTGAAGTAGATTGGAAAAGAGAGAGGGAGACCTGCAAGCAGTGATTAGAAGGTGAAAGCACTAGTGACTAATCCCAGTGATGAAGGCCTGAACTGGAGAAGAGACGGGGACATACAAGAACAATGTTGCAAAGGCAGAAACCACAATATTTGACAACGGATTGGATGTGTGGGGTGATTTTGAATGAGAGGTCCAGTATGGCATCAAGGTTACAAGCCTGGGTGACTGGGAAGATAGTAAAATACATTTAATATTAATGAATACTGATATGAGTTTGTTAAGTAAAATTAGTTGTTTAGAACTTGAAACTTCTTCCCATAGAAATGAATGTTATAAAATACAGATAGTATCATTTTACCTACATTATGGTCTAAACAGGATTTTTGTGGCTTAGTCTGGTAATTTATGTGCCATTTCTAACACTGCTTCTACAGGGAAGAGGGAAAGGTAGAAATGTACTTGGAGCAACATTTAGCTGGAAGCAGATCTCCCACTGGAGTGTAGTTAAGCCTGGGGGGATGAAGGGTGGGAACCCTTTCTTTTCGGTAGACTTTTGGCCAATATTGTACAAAACATTCATACTTCAGGTAGGGGTGTATTTCTTCTGGTTCTAGGATTCTATATGAGATCAGAAAGTGATAATTCAGAAGAGAGAAATAAAAGTATCCTTAACTAGAGAATGAGACACACTCAAGGGGAAGAAATGCTCAATTCTTATCTGCTTCTGTTTTCTCCTCCAAAAGGAGACTGGAAAGGAAAGAACAAAATTGGGATACTCTAAGAAACAGTTTGAGAACAATGTGCTGCCCTTCAACAGTCCCTGCTGAGCTATACTTCAGGTTATGGAAATACCTAAAAAATCCAGTATGCATTATTAAAGGGATTACTTATTAACGGACATTTAGAAATAGAAGCACTGACCTCAAAGAACTGGTGTGACTTCATTAACAATCACTACAGAACAGTTTCATCTCCTTTTCTGGGGACAGTTTCTAGACTGGTAGGCAGGGTAGTGATGTAGATAAAGTTTACCCAAATCCTATTTTTCTATTATTTAAAACATTATTTTCTTGATGCCTTTTTTATACCAGTCATATCTTGATTTACTCAATGCTCCTCTATAGTTGAACCAAAAACAACCAACCCTGAGAGCCTAGCTATGCAAAACACTGCATGTGACATTTTATACACATAGTCCCTTCACCTGCCACTGGGATGAGGAAAGTATATTTCTATAATCTGTTCTTTTAGACCAGGTTTAATTTAAGCAAAGCATTTGACAAAACCACTCATTACTTTAATAGATGTGGACTGGACAAGAGTAGTTTTGTGAATTTAGTAGAGAGAAGTCACTAACAGTTCAACTGTCAATTTCTAAGCTTTCCAGTGGAGAACCCTAGGGATCTGTACTTGGCCTTGTGCTATTTTTAAATGCTATCAATGTCTTAGATAAAGGCATAGATGAAATTCTTATCAAACCTACATGTAAAAAAAAAAAGCTAACAGGTTGAATAACAGAACCTAGATCCAAAAAATATACTAACAGGCAAAACCTATTAACATGCTAAAATTTAATACTATCACTGGAGTTTTAAAAGATCAACATAATAAAGATAGGATGGGGAAAGGTATGGTTAAAAAGCAGTTTGTCTCAAAAAGTTCTAGGAATTTCAGTGGACTATGAGGTCAATACTGATGCAATGTGTGATATGGAATCTAAAGCTCAAATGATTTCAAGAGAGGCAGTTTACAGGGTTAATGAGGGGGCAGTCCTGCAATACTCTCCTCTGTTCAGAACACATCTGACTATAATACCTCAGAAAGGGCACTGATAAAGGAAGAGTAAAAAACAAAGAAGAGTGTGCCCAGGAGGCCCAATGGGCACTGAGACTGTATCATACAAAAGTCAGGTGCAGCATACTGGATGTTTAGTATGGAGAAGGGATGAAGTAGGGTAAAAGTGGGGTTGTCTCAAAGTCTTTGAAAGAATATAATTTGGGAGGGTGATTAGCTTTATTTTTCTAGGTCACAGAGGACAGGATTAAGGAGAAAAAGAACATAAAAAAGGGCAGATATTGCCTTAATTGATTAAACAAAGACTGTTTCACAAACACACTGTAGCCCTACCTCGGCCTTTAGAGCAGCTCCAGATTCGTATCGTCTGATCTTTGCTTCCAGTAGCAAGGTAGTAGCCTTTTGTTACTGGATTCTGTTGAACAACTTTTCCATTAAGAATCTCGTTCTCATCTGGGAGGACACAATACTCTGTTTTACATATCCATTTCAAGCAAAAGTCCAATTTCTTTTTTCTGGGAAAATGCTTTTTCTACAATATCTTTTAGCAGTACTTAAGAGCCTAGAGGTTTGCCATACAGGCTACATGCAACTTCCCCCCTTGCCTGGTGTCTACCTGAGTTCTCTTCTGGACGAATGGTTAAGCACTCTTCACCAAGTAATGGACACCAGGCTATGGAATGAATTTCATCATCATGACCTCTCAGCCTGTGAAGAACATCTCCTTTCCTACTGATGTCAATGATAACCACCATGCCATCCTTGTAACTGGAAAATAAAAAATTTCACCCAATGATCAAATAGAAGGAAAAAACCTAATGGCAATCTTCATACCTGAAAAAAATCCTTTTCTAACAACCTGAAAGGTAGGGTTATTTTTTTCCTTTTTGCTTAACAAAGAGAAAGAAGTTAAAATGTAAATTTTCTTGTCCGCCCCCCCATATTAATTTCCTGATTTCTCAGTAGAAACTATCTTACATAATCATAATCAGCATTAAATAACAAAAAAGATTAGGTATCACATAGGCCTAGTGAAATTTCTTTTTTAAAAAACTGGAGAAAGAGTGTGAGTTCGGCTGCACTTGGAAAACTACACAAAGCTATCAATGATCCCAAGCTGCTTCTTTACACACAAACCCATTTAAAAACCAATATTATCCTAGGGTTACTGTGGAACATCGTGATCATGGGAAAATAAAAAACTGCAGAGGATCCAAAGAGAGACACATGTGGTGGGTCTAAGTAGACTGTAGCATATAATTAACAATGACTTACATGCAAAAAGTTGTATAAAATCTTTATTATGATTAGAAAAGATGGACTTGTAATGTAGTAAAAGTGGGGTATGAGCATCTTCCACCCTCAGAGTTGCCTTCAACTAAGCACATGAAATCAAGGAAAAACAGGGCTTCTCCTGGTAGTCTTTGTAAACTAGCCCCCTCTATATTCTGGGGGAAAATGGCTACATATATTGAAGAAAGAGGCAGATGGGACTCAGGTCTCATAAGATTTCTGGGTGTCTGCTCTCTGTGCATTAGTATACTCTGTGGGAGGGCTGGTTCAAGTAAGGAACCAGTCAGAAGATAGTGAAGCTGTTTTCCCTCAATGCCTATCTGCCTGTGGTTAGGTTAAAATACTGTCTTAAGATATAAACATAACAGTTCCATTTTTAATTTAGTTGTGATGGCTAACACATCGAGGTTCACCATACGATGTACCTGCTAATCCCTGTGTGAAACTATTCCCACTGCAGGGAGATAGGCAGTAGGAACCCAGTGTATGATGTGAACTTCTGACTGGTTAAATCACAAGAGTCCCAGAATAGAGCTGGAAGAGACTTTGGCAATCATGTAGTCCAAGTGCCATATTTTATGGACACAACTGAAACCCAGACAGGTATGCGAACTGAGGCAAGTTACTTCATCTAGTAAGTGTTCTGTCTCCAAAGCCAAAGTTTTTTTTTCCTCCTGTATGATGCTTAAATCTTCTAATTTAAAAATCTTCCAAACTCTGACATGGTTGAGAAGAATATGAACATGAAAGAACTTTCTAACAACTAAAGCTCTTCAATAATGCAATAAAAAGCTCCTTATCACTAGAGCAAAGATTCCTAAGCCGAGGTCCACAGATTTGTTTTTAAAAATTGATTATTTTATTTCCGTATGATTGGCTTCTATCGCAATCCTATATATTTTACTATATGTGTTCAAAAAATTCTGAGAATGGGTCCATAGGCTTCACTAGACTGCCAAAGAGGTCCATGACACAAAAAAGGGTAAGCCAAGGATAGATGACCATGTTTCCAGCATGCTACAGAAAGGACTCATCCACTGGGGCCAAAGGCCAGAGAATTGCTCTACAGTCTCCGAGACTCTACGAAAAAAGAACATTCTTAAAGATTCAAAGCAACTAGGCTTTCAAATATTCCAAATAAAACAAGTTACTCCCATTTTCTCGTTACCCCCCAAAATATGATAGCACATACCCAATGGCCACTAAATCTTCGTGATGAGGTGAACAAGTAATGCAGAAGATTGTCCTGGGTTCTGGGAAGAAGTGCTGGCTGTCATTTCTGTTATGCCAATAACAAATGACTATTCCCTTTTCATCCCCCGACACAATTAGATCCTTTACTTTAGGTGACCAATGCAGTGCTGATATGGTGTTCTTTAAGGAAAAAAAGAACAATCTTGAAGCTTATTAGCCAAGTAACTTGGTCAAAGAAATTGAAGAGGTTACAGTGAACAAACGAAGGGATAAATACATAGGCTGGCCAGGAAAATCCAAGGATCAATTCTAATGACAGTACAAATATTTTCTCCATATAACTTTATACACAAAGGCCCTACTAAGTAAGATTTATTAGTCCCATCTTCCCTTCTTTGCTCTCTCAAAAGGAAAATACTTCTAAAAGAAGAAAAATCCTATGGCAACATCTTTTTTTTTTTAAATACATCAATACATTAAAACTAGATAGGAACTACATTTTAACTCGGTTTGGGTGCACTTGGAAGTGTTGTGGGCCACATGTGACCTGTGGGTCACGTATATTGACACCTCTGATTTAGGCAACCCTTTTCTTACATTAAAGAGGTATATGGTGGCATTTCTAAAATGATAAGCAAGTTCCTCAAATCCCAGAGCAAGGAAAATGAGATCCTAATACAACTAATAGTTAATAGTAATGTGATAAGAAAGTCAGCTGAAACAGACAAATGAGATGGTAAAAGGATATATAATTCTCATTTATATAGTGTTTTAAATTTATTAAGTACTTTACATATGTTCTCTCATTTGAGTCTCACAATAAACCTGTGACAGTTACTGCTACTATTCTTATTCCCCGTTTTATGGATGAGAAAATAAGCTTAGAGCCAGTAGGCGATTTGCCCGTGGTCTTACACAGCTAGCTAGTTAAGTGTACGAAGCAGGATTTGAACTGTGGTCTCAAAGGAACTGAAAACCTTCATTATGAAAAAGTCACACTGAGTAACAGTGTTGGATTACTATTACCTGATGGAGTGTATGTTCTGTCACAACTGTTCGAGTATCCACATCCCAGATTTTCACTGTTCCATCATCAGAGCTACTGGCACAGAAGTTGGCTTGACCCACGTGGTGAGAAAATGTGAAGCCAGAAACTCTTTCTGTGTGTCCTACCAACTCTCCTAGGACTGTAAGAAAAAAACAGACTCTAGTTTAAAATGCCATACCAGAATTACTACTATTGACCAAAATGAACACCCCTTGAAACCTTGATTAAATGCCCTATTTTGCAACCTCACTGGAGAGAAGCTTTGTCTTGGGAACAGGAATATGATTTGCCTTATATATGAGACGTATCAAACAAATTACATGTATGTGGGCCTCAGATTTAATTTTTAAAGTTTTTCTTATTCAGGCTGCCTTAAGATCTCAGACTGAAAGTTCGAAAGGTCCTCGGAGGTGATCTAGTCCAGCCGCCTTACTTTTCAGATAAGCAAACTCAAGCTCAGATGGGTTAAGTGATTTGCCAAGGGTCACAGAGCTGAAGTAACATAGTCATGGTTTTAATTAACTCAGGGCTTGAATACACCAGAGAGCTCTAGCAAGCAGAAGCAGAGGACAGAGCAGTTACCCAAGGCAGATTCATCATATCTCTTCTCTGCGATGGATATTGATGATGATAAAAATAATAAATATGGAAGGTCACCTATGCATAACCTCAGAATCTCCCATATTTTCTCTCTTGGTAGAGTGCCTTTCTTTCTTTCTTTCTGGTTTTGGCCCCACGGTCAATATAACCAGCAACAAATCAATTAGCAATAATAGCTTGTCATTACGTGCCACTTTAAGGCTGGCAAAACGCTTTACACTGTCTTACTGAAAACTACTATGTGAGGCAGGTGCTATGGAAACAGGCTTATGGTGATTTGCCAGGTCACATATGAATCTAAAGCAAGTTTTCACCCAGGTCTTCTTGACTCAAGACCATAGACTCTATCTGCTGTGCCCTGCTGACTCTTCGTGGGACAGATTCATTCTTCCATTCAACAATATAGGGTGTTCCAAAAGTCTTAAAAATGCACTACGATGGGGGCAGCTAGGTGGCACGGTGGATAGAGCCAGGAGGACCTGAGTTCAAATACTGCCTCAGACACATAACATTTACTAGCTGCGAGACCCTGGGCAAATCACTTAACCCCACTGCCTAGGCAAAAAAAAAAATGGTTCTTAACTGACCATTCATTCAACTTCAAACGACCAATGCATAATAATAAAAACAGCTAACATGCAATCTCACTTGAATACCAGATGCTATTGTTACCATTTTACGGATGAGGAAACAAGCTGAGAGAGGCTGAGTGATCTGCTCAGAGTATGTACAAGGCATAAGTGTCTGAAGCAGGATCTGAACACAGGTCTTTCTTCCTGACTCGCAGTCCCGCGCCCATGCACTTGCCCTCATGATTACTTCCATCAGGGGTTTTTAAACTTTTTGGGTGTCATGGCCGTGCAGCCTGACGAAGCCTAAGGATCGCTTTTCAGAAGGTTTTTCATGCATAACAAAACGAGGCGCGCAGCATTACGTGGGTTTACACAGGAAGCCAGGAGCCCTGAAGTAAGCGTGTAAAACAAAGCTGCTGCACACGCTGCTGGCCTCGGGTTAGCACGCCCGGCCCCCCGGGGCAGGGGCCAGGCTAGCGGCCCGCAGATCTCGCCCGGAGGCGGGCGGTTCCCGGGCCGGAGGGGGCGGGCAGGGTCCCGGCCGGGGCCAGGCAGGGGCGGTTACCGTGGAAGGGGCTCAGGCCCCGGCCGATCTGGAGCAGGTAGACCGAGTTCCTCGCGGCGAACCCGAACAGCCCCCCCGGGCCAGCATCGCTGGAACGGGAGCAGTACCAGTTGGGGGAGGGCGTCAGCATCCGCGGCTCGGGGCCCATGGCTGCGGGGGGTGGGGTGGGAGGAGGCGGCGGCGGCGGCGGCGTGGGCACCACGCTCTCCCAGGCCGTTAGCTCCGGCCGGCAGCGGAGGCGGCGTCGCTCTGCGGCTCCTGTCGCAAAGAAAAGAGAGCAAACTGCTCCAGCCCCGCCCCGCTCATGTTCCCCTCCCCACTCCCGCTCACCCCTTCTCCTACGGCTCGCGCTAAGGGTCAGGCCGCAGAGAACGCGTTCTCTGGCCCCTAGAACACCCTCGGGAGCAAGCGGAGGCTGTTGCCTGTTGTCACGTTTTTCTTGGTTTCAGAGAGGAATTTTTCCATTAAAAGCTATTCCCGTAAGGTGACAGTAACTTACGCTAATTCTCTGGGAGTTAGTCCTTTCTGCTAAGCGGTGCCCCGAGTTAACCTTTCTTAGCTCCCACAGCCATGGTAATTACGAAGTTGCCCTGGGCTTAGTCCTGGCCCTGCTACCTAGGTGTTGTCTCAGCTTTTTCTAGCACAGATGTCCACCTACAATCAGTTTGTATTTAGGCAGCATAAACTGAATGCATGTAGAAGTCTTAGGTATTGAGGATAGAGGGATAATTAAGAACACGCACAAAAAAATAGAGAAACCCAAACTCTGCAGCTTAGTGTATGTTCCTAGCTAACATTTATTATATATAGTGCTTACCATGTACCATTTACTATTATTATCTCAGTTGATCCTCGAAAAACCCTGGGAGATAGGCGTAGGTAGGAGGTAGATAAAATTTTTATCCTAATTTTACAGATGGGGAAACAGGCAAAAGGGATTAAGTAACTTGGCAAGGGTCCCACAACTAGTAAGTGATTTGAGGCTGGATTTGAATTTATCTTCCTGACTCCTAAGCCCAGTGCGCCATCCATTCCACCCCCTAATTACTTCAGGTGAGAGAAGAGCTGCCTGTCTGCGTCAGTGAAGGCAGTTTCCACATTAGCAGTTCCTCACACAAAACCAATCCCCCTGAGGGGAAAACATATATGCATCATATATTAACATACATATATAAGCATATAGATAGGTAGATACATAGATAGAGGGGTAGAGGGTATTAACAAAAGGCCCCTGGCCTGAAAAAGGACCCAAAATAAAACCAAGACCAATTACAAATTACAAAAGTGTTTATTGTCTGAGAAGAGCTTGTACAATCAGAGCAGAAGGGGAGACCTCTCAGCTGCCAAAGGGGAGTGGAAAAGAGTGAGATAGTTTCTAGAGGCTTTGGGGGTGGGATAGGCTAAGAGGTGAGGGAAAATCTGTAGACCCAATAAGCCAGGGAGCAGGGGGTTTGTAAAGTCTCAAGTCTGAAGCTGCTGCTCAAGGTTGGTTTAGAGTGGTTCAAGGCTGGTCTAGCTGCTTCAGGCAACTCCAAGTTCATCTAGAATTCACTTGCCAAATGATCACTGCCTGCAGCCCTGGGCTTCCGAAGTCCTTTTGATTGGCTGGTTATTGTGCTATTCCATTGTCCTGCTTCCCAGTAAAGAAGGAAGCTCCACCAAATTTATAGTCATTACAAAGTCCATGTCCACAAGGGGTGTTAAGAACACAAAAAATTGGGAAACCAACACTTTGCAGCTCTGTATACAGGACTAGCTAACATTTAGGTAGCTCTTAACTATGTGCTATTTACTATTATTATCTCAGATGATCCTCACAACTATTGTGCTATTGTTATCCCCATTTTACAGATGGGGAAACTGAGACAAACAGGGGCTAAATGACTTGCCCAGGGTCACACAGATATTAAGTGTCTAAATTTGAATTCTGGATTTCCTGACTCCAGGCCTGGTACTCTATTTACTTCGACATCTAAGATGCCTAGGTGGCAGGAATAAGTGAGTTTAAAATCTACCTCTGACCTATACTTCCTGGGTGACCATGAAACAGTCACCTAACTTCTCAGCGCTCCCAGTAATTCTCAAAGACTGGTTGCTAACTTGTATGGGTGGAGGAAGTCCCTTAAAATGTTCAAATCACAGTTCCAGACCAGAACCAAATCTTAAAATGGATCAGAGCCTGGAAATCATCTGTAATATGGAAGAGGATAGTGAGAATGGAGACGACTCTTTCACTGATAGCTTATCATGTTTGTCACATGCACAAGGATCAATAGAGGCACAAATTTTAGTTCAGGTGAGGTGTGGTGCTTGGGTGCCTGTGCTTGGACCCCAATTTCTCTCTGGCCTCAGAAACACTATCCCTGGCAGGAACTCTTCCTCCCGGACAGATTCCCAAGATCCTCTGACATCTCCCTCCGTGTCTGGTATAGTCCCCACACTTTCCCATCCATAGCTCCCAAAGGCACTTGGATCTTTAGATTACCTAATTAGTATACCTGGAATTCCTTTGCCCATGCCCTTTTGGGTTTAGCTTTCCCCTTTAGTTTGTAAACTCGGAAGACAGGAACTGCTTTTCATTTTACTAATCCAACCCCCAACGTTTAATCTAGCGTCTGGCATACAGTAGGCACTTAATAAATATGGGATTGGATTTTACAAATGAGGTAACTGAGGCTACATCTGAACTCGGGTTTTCCACTCCAGATGCAGCGCTCAATCCCTCTCCACAACCTCTTGAGGGTGGAGGGGGGAATTCTGTTTTTAAGTTCAAATTCCGTTGTCTTCGGGGCACTTTATCTTTTAATCAGTCTGCCTCCTAGAAGCCCGTGAGGCACTTCTTTCCGATCCAGAGCTCGTGTTTTCTGCAGACCACGTGGGAGCCTCCCTGCCCCGGAAGCACCGACCGTGGCGCATGCGCGCTGCCGGCAGCGGAGCTTGAACCCTCGCGACCACCGTAGAGCGAAGCGAGAAGATGGCGGCTGTCGTGTTGAGAGACTTAGGTTAGTCATCGGGCTTGGAGCCGGGATGGGACCAGGACTTGGACCCAGAGCCAGCCTGAGGTGACGGGTTCTGTTTCTTTTACAGGGTCGTCTTGGCTGAGGAGTCTGAGGAGCCGCGGGGCATGTTCGGGGTGAGTCGGCTTGAGAGGAAGAAAGCTGGAAGGAACCTGGAATGTCAGAGCCTGAATTGGCCTTAGAACAGAGAACGTGGAATGGCTGGGCTGCAGGGAACTCTAGAACCGAGCCAGCACGGCTCGATCAATCAGTAAACCTTGCTTAAGCGCCTGGGGGCGGGGATACAAATACACAAATGAAACAGGCTCTTCCAACAAGGACTAGACGTTCTCCTGGGGGCGCCTCGGACCGTAGAACGCGGGATGTCAGAGCTGAAGGGACCCTGAGAATACAGACTGTCAGACCCAGAAGGGACCTTGGGGGTCATGTAGGCCAGCTCCCCGAACTGTACAGGTGGGGAAGTTGAGGCCCACAAGTCTGAAGTAAGGTTATTGGCAGACAAAGTGCTAGAACCTTCGCCCCCTGGACTCACAGTCTGGTGGCTTTCCACTCCAGCACAGCCCCCTCCAGAGATCACAGGTAGTGGAAGTGAACAGAATTCTAGGTGACTGTAGCGATTGGAACTGGGAGTGACTTTGTCTGTAATCAGCGATTTGAAGCAAAACTGTCAAAGAAGGGAAAAAGATACGTTTTGCTTTAGTGAAAGAGACCTCTGTTAACAATTAGGTCACAGTACTGGAAAAGCCGTATGTAGGTTTAAAGGACAGCAGAAGTCCCCCATATGGCTGGAATGCACTGCTTCTTCATTTGCCTGTCAGAATCCTTAAATTCCTTCAGGCTGGTTTTTCTTGATTTCCTTCAGTCGGGGTCCTCTCCTCAAATGACTTCGTACTTATCATTGGTTAGACATATGAGATCTCTGTTCAGTGAATACAGGCTCCTTGAGAGCAGGAGCTATTGTTTTTGTTTTTGTTTTCCTATTCTTTTTACTAGCACAGTGCTGTCAGTTTAAAAAGTACTGATCATAGACAGTGGATATAGTGCTTAATGTTGAATGTTCATTAGTTATATTGGAATCCAGTGTGAATTAGTGTGTCGGGGACAAACGGAAGCAAGTCCTGAAGCACAACTTAAGAAGTTAGATTTGAAGTGATAATAGCATTTATGTGTCGCTGTTAAAAGTTTTGTAAAGCATTTATGTATCTTATCTCATTTGGTCTTCTTAACAAACCTGGTGACTCAGTTGTTATCCCCAGTTTTTAGATGGGGAAACTAAGGCAATGAATGACTTAAGTCACAGAGCTATTAAGTGTGTAAAGCAGGGTTTGAACTTAGGACTCCAAACTCAGTACTCTTATATACTGTACTATCTGCCTGGGCAGTAATTATTAGATACTCTATAGCTGAGGAATGATATAAGCAAAACCTACAGGAAGGATACTTTTTTGAGCCCTCATTTCTGTTGGTCATCAAGGAGGAGGCTAAGTCAGTCAAGCAAGGTTTTATTGTTAATATCCTGGCACTGTAGGATGGAAATACAAAGAACCTATCTTGTCACAGGTACAAGCGACAGAGCCTTTAAGGGAGATCATAGAATCCTAGCTTGAGAGCTAGAAGGGGGCCTTAGAAATAATCTAGGGCTCCCTTAACCCTAGATGAAGTAACTAAAGGTCAGTGAGACTAAGTGATTTGTCTCTTGTCACAACTCTAATAAGTAGCAAAGCCAGGATTCATTTTTGAGTTATTTAACTCCAAGTCTGGTGTTCTTGTCACTATGACTACACTGTCTTTCATTGTTTTTAATATGTGTAGATTATAACTTTTTGAAGAGCTACATTTTACATATACATTTATGATATATGTATAAAACTCTGGTTAACGGGTTTTCTAAAATTGAATGGGATTGTACATAGATTTCAATCATCCATGCTGCATTTGTACCTGATTGATGTGGCTATAAATTAGAATTGACCATTCTGTTTACTTTGTACCAGGTGCTTGATGTTGTCCAGTTTGAAGTGAGACTGTACAGAACCTCACTATACATACTTAGCCATGTGTCTCACACTATATGAGACACAAAGCCTGGTATATAGTAGGTAATAGACAATCACTTCTTAGTGTTTAGTACACTAATTTCTTCAAGAGTCTGTGTCCTTTGCTTTCATCTTTTAAGGAGAGTTA